TCAAAGTGTTAGGGACTGCAAAGCTAGTGAAATGATACATAAAAACAAAGCAACAAAATCATTAGGGTGGTGGGGAAGTAAAGGACAAAGGGAATGGGAACAGGAACATGTTTGTGAAGATTGTATATACCAACTTAGATGGAGTAAGATAAAAAGTACTGGAACTAAGAGATATATTTCAGCTTAAGGTCCCAGATATTGTCGCACTAACAGACAAAACTTGAAGAAAATATTTTAAATGTTGTATTCCCAAGGGGCTACTCAGTTTGGAAACGTGACCATAAAAACTAGGAAGGAGAGGAGTGGCTGTACTGGTGAAAGAACACCTGAAGGTAAGAGAGTTAACACTCGAAAACCCTCAAGAAGTTGACAATGGCATTGCAGGTTTGGAATCAGGATGATAAACTGATAATTGTAAATGCCTACAGCCCACCAGCAAGCAACCCATGGACAAAGGAAGAACTAGATGATAAAAGAGAGGGCCTCATAATGGTCATGAGAGAAATTATAGTAAAGTAGTAAAGGTAACTTAAGATAAATCACTATTATTGGTACTGGGGGACTTCAACTTGAAAGTGATAGACTGGAAGGCTTACAAAGCAAGAACAGAGGACATTTGGACAGGGAGATTTGTAAAACTCATTCTGGAGACATTCATGTATCAACACAACAAGCAGGCCACAAGAATGAGGGAAAGGGATGTTTCATCAATACTGAATCTAATATTCACCAGGAAAGAAAAGGAGATATTGGTCATCCAGTACCTTCCTCCCTTGGGGAAAGAATGATCATGTCCTGTTGGAAATTAAATATGCTTTGCGATATAATCAAGAAGAGAAAGGAGGGGGGGGATAGAAATAGCCTAAGCTACTCTATCCCTTTGAGATGTATTTCTTTCTTATCTCAATAAACATACTTGAACTTGAACTAGAAGAAAATGGGGACATTGAAACAGTTGATAAACTCAATTTCAAGAGAGGACACTACTGAGAACTTAGAGAATTCTTTAATGAGTTTAATTGGACAGATTTGTTGCTAGGTGAGGAAGTAAATGAGATGTATGCCAAATTTTGCAAAATATAAGATGAAGTCACACAAACATTCATACCAAAATAGACATGCAGGACCAGAAACATTCATACCAAAACAGGATTGGTTCAACAGAAATTGTGAGAGGGCCAGAGAGGAAAGAAGGGTATGGGTTCAATATAGGAATAGGCCTAACCCACAAACATATCAGCCCTACAATTAAGTAATAAACAATTACACAGCAGTGAGGAGAGAGGCAGAAAGGTACTTTGAGAAAGGTATAGCAGACAAATGTAAAACAGATCCAGACCTTTTCTATAAACTCATTAAAAGCAAGCTACATATAAAGAATAAAATGTAGAGATTGAGAATGGGGAACAGGACTACCAGGAATGAAAAAGAAATGTGTTAAATGAACAGTTCCAAAGTGTGTGTACAAAATTAAGATTTCATAGAATCAAACCCAATACTAATTCCAGAGCATGCCATAGAATACATAGAGGTATCTCAAGACAAAGTGGAAAATTACTCAAGGGGCTATCTTGAGGTTATCTTGAGATGATTTTGGGGCTTTAGTGTCCCCGCGGCCCAGTCCTCGACCAGGCCTCCACCCCCAGGAAGCAGCCCGCTAACACCCAGGTACCTATTTTACTGCTAGGTAACAGGGGCATAGGGTGAAAGAAACTCTGCCCATTGTTTCTCGCCGGCGCCTGGGATCGAACCCAGGACCACAGGATCACAAGTCCAGCGTGCTGTCCGCTCGGCCGACCGGCTCCCTTAGAGACCGGCTCCCTTAGAGGGCTAGAGAGAAATAAAGCAGGTGTGAGTCCTACACAAGAGGCTGTTCTAGAAACTGAAACATGCTGTATGGGTAGCAGGGAAACTTCTGACATGGATAAAAAAAATTCTAATTGACAGACAGACGAGGACAGTAATCAGAGACAATGTATCTGACTAGAAGAATGTTATTAGCAAAGTAACACAGTGTTCAGTTCTTGCACCAGTAATGTTTATCATTTACATAAACGATCTACCAGGTGGAATAGAGTTACTGTACTGTATATGAACATGTTTGCGGATGATGCTAAGATACTGGGGAAGATAGGAAACGCAGACGATTGTCATACCCTTCATGTTGATGTAGATAAAATAAGTGCTTGGAACATCAAGTGGCAAATGGAATTCAATGTGAATAAATGCCATGTTATGGAATATGGAATTTGAAAAAATAGACCTCACACAACTTACAAGTTATGTGGAAAGGAATCACAGAACTCTAATAAAGAATGAGACCTAGGAGTGGTTTTGGATAGTAAACTGTCATTAGAGGGAACACACAAAGAACATTGTGAGAGAAGTGCATGTGTTGCTTTCCAACTTCAGACTTAAAGGCATTAAACATGCCTCTAATCATTGAGGTGATATGATCACCACTTACAAAATACTACCGGATAGACCAAATTGACAAAGAGGAATTCCTGAAACCAGCAACTTCACAAACAAAAGGACACAGATTCAAGCTAAGAAAACAGAGGTGCCAAAAAAATATTAGACAATTTTCTTTTGAAAACAGTGGTAGGTGGTTGGAAAAGTGAGGTGGTGGTGAAAACCCAAAACGTCAGTAGTTTCAAAGCATTATACGACAGAGTACTTGGAAGACGGAACACCACGAGCATAGCTCTCATCCTGTAACTACACTTAGGTAATTACACACACGTACACACACAAAGGAAATGTGTAAAACATTAAACGAAAAGTTCCAAAGTGTGTTTATACAAAATGGGATCTTCAGAGAACCAGACACAATAAGAATTCCAGAGAACAGCATAGAGCACATAGGTGTCTAGAGACAAAGTGAAACAAATGCTCTTGGAGCTAAGTAAGAACAAAGCAATTGGCCCAGATGGAGTTTCACCATGAAATTCTGAGAGAATGTGCACCTGAGTTCAGCATTCCACTTCAGCTGATTTTTCAGACATCCCTGTGTACCGGAGTCGTAGCAGATGTGTGGAAAAAGGCTAACATAGTTCCAATCTACAAAAGTGGCAGCAGGGAAGACCCCCTCAATTATAGACCTGTATCACTGACAAGTGTAATAGTCAAAATATTGGAAAAAATAATAAAAACTAAATGGGTAGAACACCTGGAGAGAAATGATATAATATCAGACAGACAGTATGGTTTTCAATCTGGAAAATCCTGTGTATCAAATTTGCTCAGTTTCTATGATCAAGCCACAGAGATTTTACAGGAAAGAGATGGTTGGATTGACTGCATCTATCTGGACCTTAAAATGGCTGTCGACAGAGTTCCACATAAGAGGTTGTTCTGGAAACTGGAAAATATTGGAGGGGGTGACAGGTAAGCTTCTAACATGGATGAAAAATTTTCTGACTGATCGAAAAATGAGGACTGTGATCAGAGGCAATGTATCAGACTGGAGAAATGTCACAAGTGGAGTACCACAGGTTCAGTTCTTGCACTGGTAATGTTCATTGTCTACATAAGCAATCTACCAGATGGAATACTAAATTATATGAATATGTTTGCTGATGATGCTAAGATAATAGGGAAGATAAGAAACTTCGATGATTGCCATGCCCTCCAAGTACAACTGGACAAAATAAGTATATGGAGCATCACTTGGCAAATTGAATTTAATGTGAATAAATGCCATATCATGGAATGTGGAATACGAGAACATAGACCCCACACAACCTATAAATTATGTGAGAAATCTTTAAAGAATTCTGATAAAGAAAGAGATCTAGGGGTGGTTCTAGATAGAAAACTGTCACCTAAGGACCACATTAATAATGTTGTGCAAGGGTCCTATGCTACGCTTTTTAACTTCAGAATTGCTTTTAAATACAGTACGTGGATGGCGAAATACTAAAGAAATTGTTCACGACTTTTGTTAGGCCAAAGCTAGAATATGCAGCGGTTGTATGGTGCCCATATCTTAAGAAGCACATCAACAAACTGGAAAAGGTGCAAAGACATGCTACTAAGTGGCTCCCAGAACTGAAGGGGCAAAAGCTACGAGGAGTGGTTAGAGGCATTAAATATGCCAAAACTAGAAGATAGAAGAAGAAAAAGAGATATGATCACAGAGCAGATGCACAAAATAGAGAACATACTTGATAACCTAGCAAACCCAGCTCCAGATATTATCTTCCTTGGAGATTTCAATTTACCAAGTCTAAGATGGAGAATGGCAAACACAAATATCATAACAGGGAATGAACTAACACATGGTTACTGTCTTAGTTCTGAGGCCCTCACACCCACGAGGGGTGCCCACAGTTTTTCTCAAAATTAAAATTGCATCTGTTTATTGGAGACCCAGGGAAGGGAATGTGAGCCCTGTGTACCCATGGCAGTTTTAAATCTTATGGTAGACCTAAAAGCAACTGTGGTCACTATGCTCAATTTATGGCTAAAATGCATATGCCAGTCTTCTGACCATTTGTGGAGTTCATGTAGATTTCTTTGTAAAGCCTCAATATCATTTTCACTTCTTACTTTACCACAAAAGGGTTTTACCATGAAAGGGTTAAACGTATAATTTTGTCATGATTGATGACTGCACTATGTCCACTAACCACTGCTTTTAAAGCTCTGATTGTGTCTGCTTTTAATATACTTCACTTTTAGTTTTATCATATGTGTACAGTTTGTAAAAACTGGAAAATTAAATGCTTTGTATAAAGTACATTAAGGAAGTACTGTAATGTGAGGATTCTTTAAGAATGTTGTGACAAGTCTCAGCTGAACACTGGGTTAAGTGTAGCATGGGTTTTTATAAGCGAGTCATTATCAGGACACTGTAAGTAGTAATAATGTAATGACAGTCAGGTATTATAATTGTTCTGGCTATGACAGTGCCTTGATACAATTGTAACAATTTGGTTGCAAAAGCTTTTGCTTGCCATGCTGTGTGCTCATACCCACATATTGTGATTTTACAGAAATGTGATGATGTGTGCACGAGCCTGGTGCCTTACCAGGAGGAGAACGGCCAACTCCTGACGCAACTAAATGCCTTGCACATGGCCAACATTACTCTCAGGGAACAGAATGAGAAGCACAACAAAGGTGTGTCGTAATGTTCACCTCTGGTGGAGTTTGTGTGGTTAATCCTCACTGCTTACTTTCATCTTGTTAGGAGAGATGCATGAGTGTAGCAGTTTATGCTTATGAAGTTGGGATACTTGGTTCTTTGTTACCATTATTAAATTAATAGATTAAATCAATTTGCCAGAAGTCTCATGATAAATAATACTCTTACTTAGGTTAGAATTTTCTTGAACCCTTTCACCTATGACTGTATTTCAGGGTATATTGTGAGGTATACCTGGCATATGGTATACTGTGAGATGTGCCTCATAGGGTGCATTATTGAGAGATACACCCAGCATAATGTATCGAAATATACTCAGCATAGGTGTATGGTAAAATATGCCTGATATAGGGTGCATTACAACATTTGCTTGGCATAGTGTATACAGTGAGATTATGTTATTCATCCATCAAAGTTTATAAAGACCATTCAGTGTCAGCAATTTCTGTGGGAGTGGGTTCGGAGATGGCAGATTAGTCCAATCCATGCCCAAATTTACTGGTGGCAGTGAGGACATTGAAGTTTGGGCTCCTGACAAGGGGGAGCCACCAGCCCTGAACTTGCGAAGAGAATATTTTTTTTGCAGCCTCATTGTCTCTTGTTTGTAGGCTGCTGCACAAGCCTGAACTTGTCTGCGCTAGACAGAGCAATGCTTTCCCAGCTTTCAGAGTCTATGGTGCTGTTCTTGAGGGAAGCCTTGAGGGTGTTCTTAAAATCTCTTCTTTTGCCCTCCAAGTGAACATTTTTCCCGTTTAAGTTAAGCATAGAACATCTTTTTGGGGAGTCATTCTTAGGGCATGTGCACAACATGGCCAGCCCATCTGAGTTGTGTCTTGCAAAGCTTCATGTGAATGCTAGTCATGCCAGCCTGTGCAAGAATGTCTGTATCTTCACTTTGTCCTACCATATCACCCCAAGCTGCTTCTGTACACAGCTCAGGTGAAAATAGTTTGTTTTTTGCACTGTAACAACTGTCTAAACAGTCCAGGTCTCAAGTATAATGGAGGGTGGATAGAACAGCTGCTGGTAAGACTTTTAGTTTGGTCTCAATCTTAATGCCTCTTTGATCCCAAACATTGGATCGAAGCCTTCCAAATGCTGGCAATCCTGGTACTTACCTCCTCATTGATATTGAATGCCTGTGATGGTGTACTGCTGAGGTATGTAAACATGTTTATGATGATGAGTTTCTGGCCACTGACGGTGATAGATGGCTCAGTGCAGTTACAGCCAGGAGTGGGCTGGTGCAGAATCTGTCTTTGTGGTGGAGATGGTGAGGCCGAAGTTCATGCAAGCTGTGGAAAAAAAGATCCATGATGTATTGCATGCCAGCCTCTGTTCTGAAGTTGAAGGTGCCGTCATCCTCAAATAGAAAGTAACGAATGATCTGGGGATGAACTCAAAACAAATTCAAAATGGTCAACAGATAATTATCAACAAGCAAACCAAAGTTATTTGTAAAATAACATTTAATTCTTCCTTAAAAGTTCTTGATCTGATTACTAATTTTATTTTGTTACTTCCAGAGCTTCAAAATGCCTTACAAAAGCTAAAGGAGGAGAACCAAAGCCTGCGGTTTCTTGCTGGGGAATACCAGCGGCAGATAGAGGAGCTGGAGACAGAGTCCAGCAAGAAGAACGACCGAATTCTTCAACTGCAGGAGAAGAACCTTCGAGCAGTGGTCACTACACCTGGTGAGATGACATACCAACCTCATATGTCAGTTATAAACTATCCCAAAAATTCACATTCTGTACACTACAGTATTTATAATTTTCTGGGGGAGCCCCTTGTGGCTCCCTGAAGGTATCTCACTAAGATGGTTCCCAACTACTAAGTCACATCAGCCCTGGAGTTCTGTCTGGCTTACTGGGGACCAGAGCCAGAACCTGGTCCTTCACAGAGGTGCAGAGAGCAGGTGACTGCCACCCCACCGGAAAAGCATCTTCTTGAGGTCATCTTGAGATGATTTCGGGGCTTTTTAGTATCCCTGCGGCCCGGTCCTCGACCAGGCCTCCACCCCCAGGAAGCAGCCCGTGACAGCTGACTAACACCCAGGTACCTATTTTACTGCTAGGTAACAGGGACATAGGGTGAAAGAAACTCTACCCATTGTTTCTCGCCAGCGCCTGGGATCAAACCCATGACTGCAGGATCACAAGTCCAGCGTGCTGTCCGCTCGGCCGACCGGCTCCCCCCAAAAAAAATTATTGCCAACAGCATTTGGTGTTCCCAGGCGGTCACCCATCCAAGTAGTAACCAAACCCAACGTTGCTTAACTTTGCTGATCGGACGAGAAGCGGTGTTCTCAACGTGGGGCCATACCACGTTCTACTGAAGATGATTCTTCTTGGTTGTTCTACTAAAGATGATTCATCACGTTTGCAAATTCTTTTCCTTCACTGAACTTGCTGGGTATCTGCATTGTGCAAGTTTGTAATGAGTGAGACCACTCGCTTATATTTCCAGAGTATTTTAAATGTGTCATCTTTGCGGTGGAATAACGTGGTATCCAATGCAATTTTTCCCTTTACCTTCAGTTGCAGTTCCTTGGGTGCGCCACATTGCAATCTTGTGGTGCCACACGTGTAAACCTGACGTTCAGCGTAACTTTTCTGTGAGGTTGACTGAGTTATAATAGTTATCCATGTAAAGATGATAACCCTTGTCCATTAGTGGCTCAAGCAAGCCCGTGACTGTCTCCATTACTGTTTTCCCGATTCCACAATGGACTTCAAAGTCATATATGTAGCCAGATGTTGATTCCGCAAGCATGCACAGTTTGACTCCATATTTTTCAGGTTTGCTGGGATTATATACCTTGAAAGATAACCGGCCACTCAAAGTCATATATGTAGCCAGATGTTGATTCCGCAAGCATGCACAGTTTGACTCCATATTTTTCAGGTTTGCTGGGATTATATACCTTGAAAGATAACCGGCCACTCCATGCCATCGTGCCTTCGTCCAGACTCAGTTGTTTCTGAGGAATGTAGATTTGTGCAAATTTCGTGGTCAGATATTCCATCACTTCTTTTACCAACCTGTCTTAATTGTTTAGGGGAATGGAATTGTTATTATACGTATGAAAAAACTGTCCAATATGCTGGAACTGTTTCGACGTCATAAAAGTATTGAAGAAACGGGCATGCCAGAGCCTGTTTGTCTGCCAGTACATTCTCATGGTTGGTAGCTTGGAAACCCCCATCAACATGCACAGACCTATATATCTTGCCATTTCCTTGACGGTGACTGGCACCCACATCCTCCTGACGCTCGCGGTAGCATGCTGCAATATTTGTGTGGCATACAGGTTAGTTTCATAGGTGAAAAATTCAATCAACGTTCTAGTCAGAAATAGTTGAATAAATTGTAGTGCAGTGGTGGGTGACGGAATGATTAGGCCTAGTGTTCCAGTGAAATCATCAACAATTGGTGGAGTGTTGTTGGTGGACCAGGTACTAGCAGGATCTGGCTGTGTGGTGCGTCCAGGACGTGTACGCTTTCGAGTACGAGGCGGCGGGGCAAGTGGTTCACTGTCCGCCTCACTATCATCACTTTCCTCACTCGTAGAAACATCATAATCACCTGTTTCTGACTCTAAATTATCACTATTGAAGTCACTCGCCTCTTCCTCACATTCAACATTCGACTCGACCGATATCAGAAAACTCCTCACATAACCCAGATTTCACTCGACTGTACTTTTTATACAACATACTTATCTTGTCCTTTTTTGCATGAATCCTTTGCTCCTTTAGGCATAGAACTGCTTGGCCCTTGACCAGGATCCATCGTGGAATGTATATAGTGGTTGGAAAACACACGGGAACAGATATAAATGCTCAAAACCGCACAAGCTGTGGACGCGAGGGAAGAGTGGTCCGGTCAGGAACGATGTCAACAACACATGAGGTCGCCCGCGTGGGCCGACGGCCCAGGAGGCCATAAGGAGAACGGGAATTTAATGGCGCTCATTTTGAAACTAGCCCAAAATCGATCGGATAAAACAGAATTTTATACAAATATTTTTGTATCGGACACGAGCCCAGTCTGATGCTCGGACTTGAGAGGAAAAAAACGGACACGAGGGGTGTCCGAAGAGTGCGATAGTGTTAAACACTTGCAGGCAAGGGAAGGGAAGGGGTGGGGGTAATGATGGTAGCTTTGCCGGCTGGCTGAAACAAGCAGTTACTTACTCAACAACCCATCAATATATACAACCATCATAATGTAAAAGGAATATAACTTAAAATACAATAGCATACCATACATACAATAACATACACGTGTATATAATGACAAAAGGGCAAAAATCACATGGTAAATTCTGACAAGAAATGTACACTGACACAAAGGTGTATCACATCGTATCCAGTCATAACTGATATATGCTGGGTCATGACATACTTGGCACTACTCCTAACAAGGGAACAAAAAAAAAAAAGCGTCTTAGCCTCATGCTCAGAAAGAAGCATTTCATATTTACTCAGAGACAGATATATGAGCTATGCCACTTGGATGCTCTATTTATATAGCGAGCTTAAGATGTAGATGAAAAACTACATAATGCAGCAAAATAAAGGTGAGACTCGCCTGAGCTGCAAAGTGTAGTCCCCAAATCCTTAAGTTGGAAAGTAGATAGAGAACCCGATGAGCATCTGTAAGGCACCCAGGATCTAAACAGGAACGCACTTTACTTGGAAGGGAGCCATTCATATAGAAAACACCGAGAGGTCCAGTGCTTACCTTTCAAGAGTTACTATCATTAACTATGGGGGAGTGAGATCTAGCTGTTTATGCTTTGCCTTTTTGCTGATTATACCTGATGTGCTAATAACCTTTCTCAACATTAATGTTTTCATCATACTTTTCTCGTAAAGTTGCTAGCTTCTTAGTGCTTACCAAAAATGGACATTTAATTACATTCAATACTTGATTTTTGTGTTTTATTAGTATGAGCAGTATTTTCTTTGGTTACATTTTTGACTTTGTAATTGGTTTCCTCAGTGATGGGTTGAGCATACTTCCCCAGGCTCCTCTCACCTTGATAAGCAAACATGATTCTGATTATTTTCCCCATGTCCTGGGGCCCCTTGTATGGTTCATGAGCATCTATGGTATCAGAACCATAAGAAGAGGGAACTTACTGAGGGCCATTTCATTACACTCAACACACTATATTTTATCATTGTCAGGTGGACGGAGGAAGCCGATGTCATTTCAGCGTCAACGTTTAGAAATCACTTCTCATCTTCCAGAGAACAACATGTCTTCCAGTATCAAGTGTTCAAAGTAAGTACAGTACAATAATGTGGACATTCTATATCTTTACAGTATTATGCGATTGAGTGAGTTAAAGAGAGGTTGATATAATATAGAAGAGTGTTTATAGACATATATATAGAGAGACAGACAGACAGACAGACAGACAGACAGACAGACAGACAGACAGACAGACAGACAGACAGACAGACAGACAGACAGACAGACAGACAGACACACAGACAGACACACAGACAGACACACAGACAGACACACAGACACACACACACTGTATCATTGACAAGTGTAATAGTGAAAGTATTGGAAAAACTAATCAAAACTAAATGGGTAGAACACCTGGAGAGAAATGATATAATATCAGACAGACAGTATGGTTTTCGATCTGGAAGATCCTGTGTATCGAATTTACTCAGTTTCTATGATCGAGCCACAGAGATATTACAGGAAAGAGATGGTTGGGTTGACTGCATCTATCTGGACCTAAAAAAGGCTTTCGACAGAGTTCCACATAAGAGGTTGTTCTGGAAACTGGAAAATATTGGAGGGGTAACAGGTAAGCTTCTAACATGGATGATAAATTTTCTGACTGATAGAAAAATGAGGGCAGTAATCAGAGGCAATGTATCGGAATGGAGAAATGTCACAAGTGGAGTACCACAGGGTTCAGTTCTTGCACCAGTGATGTTTATTGTCTACATAAATGATCTACCAGTTGGTATACAGAATTATATGAACATGTTTGCTGATGATGCTAAGATAATAGGAAGAATAAGAAATTTAGATGACTGTCATGCCCTTCAAGAAGACCTGGACAAAATAAGTATATGGAGCACCACTTGGCAAATGGAATTTAATGTTAATAAATGTCATGTTATGGAATGTGGAATAGGAGAACATAGACCCCACACAACCTATATATTATGAGAGAAATCTTTAAAGAATTCTGATAAAGAAAGAGATCTAGGAGTGGTTCTAGATAGAAAACTATCACCTGAGGACCACATAAAGAATATTGTGCAAGGAGCCTATGCGATGCTTTCTAACTTCAGAATTGCATTTAAATACATGGATGGCGATATACTAAAGAAATTGTTCATGACTTTTGTTAGGCCAAAGCTAGAATATGCAGCTGTTGTGTGGTGCCCATATCTTAAGAAGCACATCAACAAACTGGAAAAGGTGCAAAGACATGCTACTAAATGGCTCCCAGAACTGAAGGGCAAGAGCTACGAGGAGAAGTTAGAAGCATTAAATATGCCAAAACTAGAAGACAGAAGAAAAAGAGGTGATATGATCACTACATACAAAATAGTAACAGGAATTGATAAAATCGACAGGGAAGACTTCCTGAGACCTGGAACTTCAAGAACAAGAGGTCATAGATTTAAACTAGCTAAACACAGATGCCGAAGAAATATAAGAAAATTCACCTTCGCAAATAGAGTGGTAGACGGCTGGAACAAGTTAAGTGAGAAGGTGGTGGAGGCCAAGACCGTCAGTAGTTTCAAAGCGTTATATGACAAAGAGTGCTGGGAAGACGGAACACCATGAGCGTAGCTCTCATCCTGTAACTACACTTAGGTAATTACACATACACATACATAGAGACAGACAGACAGACAGACAGACAGACAGTGGTACCTCGGAATACGAGTGTTCCTGTATACGAGTTTTTTCGGAATACGAGCAGGATTTGCTCGGAAAATTTACATGGGAATACGAGCATTGCCTCGGAAGACGAGGGTGTTGATACGCGTACAGGCCGACTAGTGCGTGGTGGCACGGTGATCGCGCCTCAGTTTACCTGTGCCTCGCGCCCAGTGACTGTCCACCTAAATTCTTCACAAGGTTTTACAGTTTTTTGTCGGATTTTTGGCCATTTGAGCATTAAAGTTGTTATTATATATCTCGCCATGGGTCCCAAGAAAGCCAGTGGTAAGGTTCAACCTAAGAAAATAGTTGTGAGTAGAGGCAGTAGAGGATGTCCCTTCCTCATTAAGAAAATGTGTAAAGTATGGAAGGAACTGCAAAGTTTTGTTAAAAAAAACTCACCCAGATAAAGTTGTAGCAGGCTGTTGCATTGACCTTTTAAATGACAATGTGGTGTCTTACTACAGACAAGTGTTAAAATGTAGGGAAAAACAAGTGTGTCTAAACAAATTCTTAGTAAGACACGCAAGTCCTAGTGGTATGCAGGCAAAACGTGCCAGAGTGTGCACACCAGTGAAGTCCTCACTGCCTGATGTTATAATGGAACGGGACTCCCCTTCCAAACAGTAACACCTCTTCTCCCTCCCTCTCACCATCTTCTAATGCCAACAGCAGTCATCAGCAAGGGTAAGTAATAACTTGAACATACTTTTGTAGTGTAGATTTAGATGAATTAGGTATAAAATATAGATTGAAGTGAGGTTTTTGGGTAGTCAGGAACGGATTAATTCATTTCCCATTATTTTTTATGGGGAAATTAGCTTCGGTTTACGAGTTTTCGGATTATGGATTTCAAACTCTTAAACCGAGGTATCCCTGTATGTATGTATGTATGTATGTATGTATATATATATATATGTATGTATGTATATATATATATGTATATATATATATATATATATATATATATATATATATATATATATATATATATATATATATATATATATATATATATATATATATATATATATATATATATATATATATATATATAATATATATATATATATATATTTATATTAAATAAATAAATAAAGATGCTTGGGCCTATCCTCACCCAAATTGGCGAAGAGAATGGTCTGTGGCTTGGGACGAACATAGGCTAGTCAGGGTCATCAGAATTCAAATGGGAACAGTTGTCCGAAACGCTTTGCGTAATAGTGGCTTTAGGCATTGTATGTACTAGCTCTATCTATAAATCCATCAATGTTTGTATCACACCTTGTATGTATGTACTTGAACTGAATAAACATTTGAATTTGAATTTGAGTGTGTGTGCCAGGGTTACATTCAGACCCCTCACACCGATTTTTGGCACTGCATCCCAGCTACACAGCTAAATATTTTAAAAATCAAATTTTCAAAACTATTTTATAGTATTGTACACCATTATTCACTAATCTCAGGAATATTAATAGAAATGACGTGCAGGCCATAATTTGCCCAGACTCACATGAAATACATGATCCTCCCAGAGTCAAACTCTTCTCAAGCCACATACCTTTTTCAGATTAAAGGTGTAATTATTTTACTTTTTAGTATTTCATACCACTAAGCTCCTTTCACGTGGAACAGTTTTTGAGGTAAAACACCTGATTCTAGAATACTTTGGTTCCAAATTCTTTAGTGATAAAATATACCAACATTAACACTTCAGGTGTGGATGTGCTGGTGGTGACCAGAGCCAAAGTAACAACAACAACAACAATAATAATGCGTACTTGGCTGACCTGTTGAGGATGACGGACCAGAAGCTACTGGACCTGCAGCAGGAAGTGGAGCGCAGCCAGCGTTATGCAAAAGAAAACGAAAATCATTGTACAGTACTTAAAAAACAGGTAGGTTGAGCATTGAGGAGTGTGTGTGTATGTGTGTTGATTGATCACTTGGTAAAGACTAAAGTTGAGTGAATGCTTACTTTGTATATAATGTGGCAGATCTTATACTTGCATGACCTTCTAGGGAGAAGTTGAAGAAGACATTTATTCTACTTAAATATTGTACCTTTCTCAGTTTCTTCAAGAATATTTCCTAGTTATTTGGTATTGTTTATATCTATGATTAAATCCAGGTTCATTATGCATTACTGTACAGTGCATCGTTGATTCACGAACAACATGCAACCAGACCCAATTTGTTGCTGCAATCATGGCAATGATTCATTGCAACTGGAGATGCCTTCATTTATATGATGCTATTTTTTTTTAAAAAGGGGCAAGAAAATATATTACTACATCTGTTTCTCTTAGTATTTCATTTATCTATGATAATGAAGATTTACAAAATATGTTCAGTAATATTAAAGGAGCTACAATTTATACCCATATATTTCCCATGCTCTATGGGTAAATTTTATATAGGTAAATTGTAATTTCAACAGATTATATGTATGATGAACCGCTACTAGGTGAACCTGTCTGTAAAATGGTTTCACCATATCTAGCTTATTCCCTATGCCCCTGCCTTAACCCTTAACCCTTACACTGCTCAGGGGTCCTTGGGACATTTACACCCCTGTGCGCAAGAAAAAAAAAAATTCAAAATTTTTTTTTCGTCTTCTAAACATGTTAATTTGTGTCCCCTGAGCACGGAAAAAAAAAATCGTAGGTGACATATTTTGGGCGCAATTGACCGAGGAAGTCTGGCAAAAAGTGGGCGTTGACAGAGCGGTCGTCAGACCCGGTCAGCGTCACCCGCGCTGACAGGTGGGAGTTGCCACAAAGAAATTATTACCTAATTGTTTCAATGTCTCCGATTTATTGTTTCTTAGTTTTTTTGCAGTAATATTATTCAATAGTGTGTATTGTAATATATTTATATAATAAAAGTGGTGAATAATCGCTATACTCAAAAGTATGATGTGCATATTAGTGATTCAATTATTATGTTTATAAAACAATACACTCTATACACAGGTTATACATAAGTATCTGCATGTTTTGGTCACCATAACGAACCACTAAGTTGGTATTGAGAGTCGAAAAGCAACGAAGAGTTACCGCCACACACCAGCCAGCCACTCATTGCCACTCCCTCAACACACGCACTAAACTTTCTTCCCCAATAATACTGTTTGTGGTGTTATTACACTATATACAGACGTTATATATAAGTATGTATATATTTTGTTCACCACAACTGTACAGCTAAGCTGATATAGTTAGTTCAGGCACTAAGAGTCGTCGCTATACACAGATGGCGGCTCCCTCACTCTTTCAAGGTCACACGCACTAAACTTTCTCCCCCAACAATACTGTTTGCAGTGTTATTACCCTATATACACATATTATATATAAATATCTACATGTTTTTGCACCGTAACTGTACACCTATGCTTGTAGTGCGCCCAAAGAGCATAGTGGCCACCCTCTAAACAGCTAGACAAATCGTGCAGACGACGTCACCTCCATCACCCATATGGCTCCTCCCAGCATAATCCTTTTGCTGTTATTACATTTTATTGCTCTGAGGGGGCCAGGTTCTGGCTCGTGGTCCCCAGTAAGCAAGAACTTCTAGCACTTTGACTGATGCCAGAAAGTTATACATATCCATTCAGCCTGGATAGCTCCGGGGAGCCTCCGGGACTCACCCAGAAAATGGCGTTTCATTACATTCAACGCTGGTTTTTCAGACCGGGATTGTTTCTTGAAGTCTTTGTTCTTGGTTTCTCTCAACTCCGGTTGTCAGGTGGGGGAGTTTCGTGCTCTCCACCAGTGCTGGGGCTTCTGCTTTTCTGGCCCTGGTGAGCGGTTTATTCATTTGCAGCCACCTTCTTTTCTAGTGAAGAATGAATCGGCTTCAGAAGGGGTCCAATGGCCATTGATGCTTGGTTGGTCTGGCCAGGGGTGCATCACATATGCTACCTGCCTCTGTGGATTCTTCGTGGGATGATCCTGTCACCTTGGTTCCCTGTTCCAAGTCTCTCAGGTTGTCCGCAGTGCTATTAAGTCTAATCAGCCTGAGGTCTACCCTCGTGCCCATGATGTTCGAAAGTATGCCGCTCTTTTCGTTGTTGCGAAAAATTTACTGGGCTGATATTCAGGCGTGTGGGTTTTGAAAATCGAACAGGGTTTTGGCAGCCCAGTTATCTTGTTAATGTAACGATGAGTGTCTCGATTTCGTCCTGATATCTGAGAAGCTTCATCCTGCCTGGTAAGTGCCCATTTGTTTCCTTCTCAGTGGGTAATTAGCTTTAGGGAGCTACAAGGGGCTGTCCATCAGAAAGCCAGCATTGAATATAATGAAACGCCAATTTGGGAATGAGCGTTCCCCAAACAAGGAAGAGGTGAGGCGAATGAACTTGCACTAGTTTTGTGAAGTTTTGATCGTTTGTTTATGTTGTAGGGAGGTTGTTTGGTGGTGTTTAAGGATGTATTCTCATTTAAAGTTAGCAGTGTTTTCTGGGGCGAGACCCGTCGGCTCCCTGGAGCTTTACCAGGCTGATATGCTAATGTCAGACTTTGGCATCAGTCATGTGTATGGAGTTCTAGGGCCTACCGGGACCACGGCTAGAACCTGGCCCCCTCAGAGAGGCAAGGGGAGCAATGGCCTATAGCAACCCCCGTGTGGTTGGAAGCATTCTATGTCTGCCATCGACCGGGTCAAGCATCCAGAAAGGTAAGCATTCCAAAACAAACCCTATTCTGGTGAAAATTGCTACCTAAAGCCAAACTAGTGGATAGAACTCCCCAACAGAAAACAAGCAAACTAGTATGACGTCACACGTCACCGCGCCGCTGTCTGCGCAGCTCCCCCCTCCCCGGGAGGGGGAAGGGGGAGCCCCAGACCTCCCACGCCGGCTATCCACCCATCAGTTCTTCGGCTGATGCTATAGGCACCGGTTATGTGCTCTGGCTCCAGTAGTTGTTTCAGCACTGTACCTAGAGTGTGGTGTCTGTTTTCTAGGTGGTGTGTGAGCCGGGAGTGAGTCTCCAGTACTCGGGCTGCATGTGCCTAGGGTTCCCTTCCCTAGGTGCCCTGTAAGTACTGCCCTTGGGGCCACCTTCCACAAGTTCCTTGGGTCCTGACCCTGCTAGGCCGTTTACTGCGTGGTTTTCGGCCGCTCTTTGTGTACTCTGGTGTTCTGTCTCCCTTGTTCGCCTTAGGGTAAGGGGCAGTTTTTGCACTGGTGGGGCGCAGGGTACTGTGCAGCTTGTCTCCACCAATCATGGCGGCCGGCTCAGTTCCGCTTGCGTACGCTGTCCTCTTGCGGGGTTTTCTTTTTCTTTTTGTTTATCTACCTGGTGGGGGGGGGGGTCTGCCTTCGTTCTTGCCCCTTGTGTTCCATCTCCTTGTGCCGCCTGGGTTTCGGTGGTCGCGCCCGAGATCTTCCCGCGGCTCCGCCTTTTCTTGGGCTCGGAGGGGCCTTGTCGGGGCTGCTTACATTCTGCCTTGCGGTCTCACCTCCGGTTGGTGGTCGGGTGGCTTCGTGGTAGGTGTCCCACCTGCGTACTTCTCTTGGCGGCAGTATGGGGTATTTTGGCGGTCCTTCCTTTTCCTGTCCCTTCTTAGGTGGTTACTCTTGTTAGCGTCGGCTTCGTTTTCTGGTGGGGGTTGGGGGCCGTCGTCTTGCCACATACTGTCGCCTCTTTTCATGCGGCGCTGGCGGAGCCGCTTCGGCTTGCTTTCGGTCTTTGTGTTGTTTCTGCACCGTTAGTAAGCTGTCTCGTGCGTTGTTTCACCTCCGGCCTGTTCGTGCGCTGCTTGCACCATCCTGGTCTCTGGTCAGCGTGCTCTGTCTTCTCCTCGGTTGGTAGTGCCCCTTCGGTTCCGGTTTGTTTTTTCGTCGGCTCTTTTTCCTTTTGGCATTAGCCTCTGGGGGTCGGGTCGCTGAGTTTTCTTGCTCCTTCGGTTGTAGCGTTTTGGTTGTTCGGTGGCAGCAGTCTCCATCTTTTCTGGCGCGGGGTGGGGCTGCTGCGTTCTGGAGGGGTCCATGGTTTGTTGGTGCTTCGTTGGTCGGGCCGGGGGTGTGTCGTGTTTTGTGTTCAGTGGCGGCCCTCCACTGTTGTTTGCATGCCACGGCGTCTGTGTCCGGAGCGCGTTTTGCGTTGATCCGGTTCTGTTCTTCCAGGCGGGTGTTGGTGTCCCGGGTTGTCAGTCGTGTTCTTGCGGCTAAGCTGCCTGTGTTCTTCCCTCATGCCAGTGGCGTTCGTGGCTTCACTGCTCTCGCTGCCGTCTGGGCGACGTGTCCTTGCGGTCTTTCGGGCATGGATCTTGGGTGTTCGTACAGGGGCCTTGCTGCTCGTTGTTTTCGTGTTGTTCCCGGGACTTTTCGGGGCTGTGGCGCCTTGGGTTGGCATTTGCTGGCGGTTGTCTCGCTTCCGTGGGGGGTGCGTGGTGTCCGCCTCCCGGTTCCATCCCTTTCACCTTCCTCTGTGGGTAGTTAGCTCCGGGGAGCCGATGGGGCTCCCCCCAGAAAACCAGCGTTGAATGTAATGAAAAGCCATTTTCTGGGTGAGACTCGGAGGCTCCCCGGCAACCCTCCCTCCCTCCGGTCGGCAGTTTTTCGCGTGTTTTGACATCCAGCCTTAGAACTGATGGGCTGGATAGCTGACGTGGGAGGTCTGGGGCTCCCCCTTCCCCCTCCCGAGGAGGGGGGAGCTGGGCAGACAGCGGTGCGGTGACTTGTAACGTCATAATATTTTGCTTGTTTTCTCTTGAGGAGTTCTGTCCACTAGTTTGGCTTTAGGTAGCAATTTTCACCAGAATAGGGGTTTGTTTTGGAATGCTTACTTTTCTGGATGCTTGACCTGGTCGATGGCAGACATAGAATGCTTCCAACCACACGGGGGTTTCTATAGGCCATTGCTCTCCTTGCCTCTCTGAGGGGGCCAGGTTCTGGCCGTGGTCCCGGTAGGCCCTAGAACTCCATACACATGACTGATGCCAAAGTCTGACATTAGCATATCAGCCTGGTAAAGCTCCAGGGAGCCGACGGGTCTGGCCCAGAAAATGGCGTTTCATTACATTCAACGTTGGTTTTTTTTTTTTTTTTTTTTTTGCCAACTTTTTGGGTGCCTTCCTTCTTGGTGGCAGATGTGAATAAATTTCTTAAACTTATATCATAAGTGCCACCGATCCCTCCGCCTCTGAGGAGGGCCCCAGGATCTGGCTCGTTGTCCCCAGTAGGCTAATAGAACTCTACAACTGATGGGACCTAGTAGTATGGGACACTGTCAGAGAGAGAGAGAGTAGCTTCTGGGAGTCACTGGGGCTCAACCAGAAATTGGCATTTCATTATATTCAAAGCTGATTTTTTATTTCCTTCTTTTTTTCTTAGATTTCAAATAGAGAGAGAGAAATCAGTAGACTCCAGGGATTATTGGAAGGAGGGAGAACGGTAGCTGCTGTGATAGAAGACAACCGGTTGCAGGCAGCACACGCACACCTCCACCAGCTACAGCTCCACAATGACATGCTCACTAAAACAAACATCCAACTGGAGAGTAAACTTAAAAGTATGACTGGCTCACTATTTTATATATATATATGACTATATTCTGCAGATTTTAAAAATCTGACTTGTGTCATTTCTAATTTGAACAAAGCTATCTGATTTTTGTATAACATTAAGACCAATTATATATATATATAAAAACAAAATTCTTTTGTATTATTTACCTAATTCTTGCTGCAGACATTCTTGGCGACACTCACGATGCAATGAACCGAGCGGTAGAGCTTGCTGATGTCAACACAGACCTCACCAAAGAACTCTGTGATGTAGAAAATACCAATCGACTCTTGGAGGAGGATGTCATAAACACAGCGGAAACTCTGACACAAAGGCTGGAGCTCACCAGAGTATGTATACTGTAGCACACCAAAGTATGTATACTGTAGCACACCAGAGTATGTATACTGTAGCTCACTAGAGTATGTATACTGTAGCACACTAGAGTATGTATACTGTAGCACACTAGAGTATGTATACTGTAGCACACCAGAGTATGTATACTGTAGCACACCAGAGTATGTATACTGTAGCACACCAGAGTATGTATACTGTAGCACACTAGAGTATGTATACTGTAGCACACTAGAGTATGTATACTGTAGCACACTAGAGTATGTATACTGTAGCTCACTAGAGTATGTATACTGTAGCACACTAGAGTATGTATACTGTAGCACACCAGAGTATGTATACTGTAGCACACCAGAGTATGTATACTGGGTTGTTAATGTTGTACATCATATTTTGAACAAAATGTCTTTAATTATATTTACATCCTTGTGATCCTTCAGACTGTGATATTATTATGACAGCTTTTCTTAACTTGACAGAAATTTGTGCAGCATTATGATAACCCAAATTTTATGTAGTGTGATAACTGTAGTCATGTAGTATAACTGTAGTCATGTAGTATAACTGTAGTCATGTAGTATAACTGTAGTCATGTAGTATAACTGTAGACATGTAGTGTAACTGTAGACATGTAGTATAACTGTAGTCATGTAGTATAACTGTAGTCATGTAGTATAACTGTAGTCATGTAGTATAACTGTAGACATGTAGTATAACTGTAGACATGTAGTATAACTGTAGACATGTAGTATAACTGTAGACATGTAGTATAACTGTAGACATGTAGTATAACTGTAGACATGTAGTATAACTGTAGACATGTAGTATAACTGTAGACATGTAGTATAACTGTAGACATGTAGTATAACTGTAGACATGTAGTATAACTGTAGACATGTAGTATAACTGTAGACATGTAGTATAACTGTAGACATGTAGTATAACTGTAGTCATGTAGTATAACTGTAGTCATGTAGTATAACGGTAGACATGTAGTATAACTGTAGTCATGTAGTATAACTGTAGACATGTAGTATAACTGTAGTCATGTAGTATAACTGTAGACATGTAGTATAACTGTAGACATGTAGTATAACTGTAGTCATGTAGTATAACTGTAGACATGTAGTATAACTGTAGACATGTAGTATAACTGTAGACATGTAGTATAACTGTAGACATGTAGTATAACTGTAGTCATGTAGTATAACTGTAGTCATGTAGTATAACTGTAGACATGTAGTATAACTGTAGTCATGTAGTATAACTGTAGACATGTAGTATAACTGTAGTCATGTAGTATAACTGTAGTCATGTAGTATAACTGTAGACATGTAGTATAACTGTAGACATGTAGTATAACTGTAGACATGTAGTATAACTGTAGACATGTAGTATAAGTACATGTAGTATTTGTAAACAAGGTTCTCTTCTTTACAAATTCTATTTGTTTGGTGGTTCTCGAGACAGTGGTCTCGTTTGGCCAGCAGTGCTTTACTTTGTTTTGTTCTGCTCATGGTTCCCGGTAAGTCATAAAACTTTGCGACTGATGGCACCTAGTAGTATAGTGCTATATCAGAGATAGTAGCTTTCAGGAGCCACCAGAGCTCACCCAGAAATTGGCATTTCATTACATTCAACACTGTTTTGATTTTTACTTATTTTGCAGACCAAACTTACGAGTTGCAAAGCTGATTTAGCAGAACAACATCGCTTGTATCACCTAATGCGAGATGAACGTGATCGGTTGTATAAAGAACTGGTCCATGTCCGTCATGATTATTCTAAATTATCTCATGACCATACACGACTTGTAACAGAACGGGTACCAATGATGGATGAAAACAAGCGAATGGAAGATCTTTTACGGAAAGGACAGGAGGAAAAGAAGTCTTTGGTGGATAAAATCAATCGCTTAACAGTTTCATGTGAGTTATACAAGTTATCAGAAGGACAATTTATTTTATTTAAATCATGTGCACATACAAGTAATTATAATGCATGTTACACCACACACATTTGAATTGATTTAATGCTACAACCGGTATGTTGCTGTTATTATCCAAAGAGCACAAATACAGACATTTCACTCCATGGCATACTTCTATGTATATATAAGAATAGGAATAATAATGATAATACTATTTTATCTATTTAAAAATTCACTGTTGAATGTAATAAGAACATAAGAACAAAGGTAACTGCAGAAGGCCTATTGGCCCATACGAGGCAGCTCTTATCTATAACCACCCAATCCCACTCGTATACATGTCCAACCCGCGCTTGAAACAAGCGAGGGACCCCCACCTCCACCACGTTACGCGGTAATTGGTTCCACAAATCAACAACCCTGTTACCGAACCAGTATTTACCCAAGTCTTTCCTAAATCTAAACTTATCCAATTTATACCCATTGTTAGGGGCCTGACCCAGACGATGGCAAACATAGAATGCTGCCAATCACACTGGGGTTTCTACAGGCCGTTGCTCCTCGTGCCTCTCTGAGAGGGCCAGGTTCTGACTCAAGGTCTCCAGTAAGCCTAAGAACTCCATTTGCTTGACTGATGCTAGGGTCTTATACATTCATATCAGCCCTGTTAGCTTCAGAGAGCCTCCTGGTCTCACCCAGAAAATGTCATTTCAATACATTCAACGCTGTTTTTTTTTTTCCTCAGGCTTCCCTAAACCTTTTTCAGTGGCCTAGATGCTTGGCCAGGTCCCTGGTAGGCATACATGGGTTGCTAGAGGCCTGGTGTGTGTCAACGATTGGACCTTTCCAAGTTGTAGCATCAAAGAGCTACTGATTAGCCTGTGCAGAAAAGAATGCTTATTGCTTGTTATACCAACTAAAATTTTTCATTAATATGGACTATTTGTTTGTTTTTTACAGTGCAGGAAACAGAAACTGATAAACTTCGTCTCTCTGTGGATGGAGATGCCCTTCGTAAGACCATTAGTGAGCTTAAGGGACAGAAAGATGTTTTAAATATGACTATATGTGAACTGAAGTCACAAAAAGATGCTCTGAACAAAACTATCAGTGAGTTAAAGGACAAAAAAGACTCAGCCGAGCAAGGGAAAGCCTTCTACACGTCGGAGACGGAGAAGTTGTTGGGGAAGAACAAAGATTTGGAGCAGGAACGAAACTACTACAAAGAGGAGATGATAAAGCTTCAGACTCAGAACACTAATTTGGAGCAAGAAAGGGACTTCTACAGGGACCAGACTGGGGAGGTATAACTGCCGTTACACCATCTATTCAATTAACTTGACAGGTCTATCTAGACTGTGCATTATATCTAATTAATTATTAGTGAATCTGTCCTTTCTGGCAGGGCTTCCTTCTGTGACTCACTGAGCTACCTGCATAGTTAGCCCCAAACTTAATGTACTCCAGCAGGCCCTTGTGAGTCACAAGAACTTGCCAAAGACCAGGGCCATGATTTATACAATATTAATGCAACCACTTATAAAAATTGAGCATATTTCCTTAATAATGGCAGTTTTGTTTACATTTATTGAACATTTTATTAGGTTCTAAACTTTATAACCTAAGATTATTAGTGTTATAAAAGCATCATGGTGCTTTGGCATTCATAAACTGTTTATTATATGAAAACAAAGCTGCCATGATTGAAGAAAGATGTTCATATTTTGTTAGTGGTTACATAAATGCTTGATAAATCCTGGCCCCAGGAACAGATTTTGGTCTGCTCAATAGATGCTAGGTTTGCTTAGGTTAGGAGTTTGCAAGATATTGATCATCTGGATGCCACAGAGTCTGGTGATCAACCCAAAACCACCAGAAAGATAGTGCCCTAAAACAACCAATTGCATAAAAAAACATTGGCATCCCCTGAACTTTGTACAGATATTAGCCAGTGCCGGCACTAGTTACACTACTTCGCTACTAGATGGCAGCTTTGGTAACTCAGGGCTCTAGCCAGCTGACCATTTCAATCATGTGCCTGGTGCATAGTTGCCCTAGTTGCCCTTCATGGCTTCACTTTCACCTGACTAAACACCCAACCCACAAATCTGAAAAAGAAGAATTAGGACTCTGTCCTCCAGTGGCCTGTGATTGTGTATGTTCCAATTTTATTTATGTGAGATGCCTCCTGGAGATTCCCTGAAGCTGTCTTGTTGAGATTTTTCCATACTAAATGGTCACATAGGTTGCTGAAGTTGTTTTCTGTGGGGAGCCCCGTTGGTTCCCTGAATTCATCTTACTGAGCAAGTAAGATATGCCGCAATCCAATGGCATAGTGGTAAAGCACTCGCCTGGCACTTTGCGAGCGCTTTAGCTTGGATTGGTATCCTCGCTGGGGAGGATTTACCTGGTGCCAATCCTTAACTGTAGCCTCTGTTCACCCAGCAGAAAATGGGTACCTGGTTGTTAAATGATTTGGCGGGTCGTATTCTGGGGAAAAATTTCAATTAACCCCTCAACTGCTCGGCTTCCAAATATGACCCCCCCCCCAGTGCACAGGAAATAAATTATCAGGAAAAAATTATTTTTTGTTTTGAAACTGTCAAAAACCCTTCTCTGAGTATGGGTATAGTAACTGAAAGTCGAAATTGTACTTACTTTGGCTACTATGGGGTCCATAAGTTGGCACGTGACGTCATCATTCCCCGTTCGCCCATGGTGTACACTCCCGGGGCCAGTACGGCGCCTGGGGCAGGATGTGCGCGTTGCCTCGAATATATTTTTGTTCATTTTTTGCGCACAGTTCCAAATACATTTTATTTGTTTTTACGTGCCAATCCTATGTATAATGAATACGTACACTATGTGCAGTTAACACTTTCGCCCAGCCGGCTAACGTTAAAAAAAAAGCGGTATGTGCGCGCGGCATTTTTGTCGCTTAAGCGGCAAAACAAAAATGTGTATACTCTTTTTACTCTCCTGCCATTAGTTCTCGAGCTACATATTTCATTTTGGTACCAATGTGTTCGCAATAAAATTCTCTAGAAGAACATCGGTAAAAAAGGTCACGACCCCTTCCAAGAGCTATATAGTTGTAATGACTTTGTACTTTCCCCTAATAATTCCCTTCCACCTGATGGGGTGGCGAATTGTCACTTGCTCCCTGTGCCTTTGTGATAGGGCGAGGATCTGACCATGGTCCCTGGTAGGCTAAACAGAATTTTTGTGACTAATCTGACATTTTAATAAGGAGCAATTACAGCAAGGTAGCTTCAGTGAGCCACCAGGGCTCGAGCAGTAAGTGGCTTTTTCATTACTCAATGCTTTTTTCTTTTATTAAATAAGGGTCCTCTTCTGGATTAGGGGAGATCTGCAGTTTGAAAGTTTTTGTTGTTTGGAGGTTAAACTGTTGGAGAATGTACTGGAAAATACATATTATTAAGTCCTTAAATTCTGTATGCATTACTTTTCACAATCAAGTTTTCAAAACACAGTACTGTACATTTGAAGGATTGATTTGCCAAATTATGAAATAACATGAATATAGTTGTGAGGATGCATCAATGGTCAGGGAATTCATAGAATGCTAGATTGAGGATAGTGGAGAAAATTAATATATAGTACAATAGTTATAAATTATTTTGCAGTTGTCACGAGAGAAGCAAGTGGTGGAACAGTCTCGGTCATACATTAGCGATGATTTGACAAAACTTCAAAGTCAGCACCGGCAAATGCAGCAGGAAAGAAACTACTTCAGTGAGCAACTAAATCTGGTAAGTATATACTATTCCATTTGGCATTTTTTTTTAATACTGTTATACATTTATTTCTCTTTTTAGTGATTTTATTGTTTGGTGCTAGCTAATGGTATGCCTCCTCAATATCTGCACATGTTACATGATTCATGCACATGCTGCAGCATTTCTTATACCTGTTGTTTTGTAAGTTTAAATGGGTTAGAAAATAGGTTGATATAACATATGCCCTTTTGTCACTGTATTTGACTTGCATATCTAATCAGTAATGACCATCTGTTTAAAAGACTCAAGCAGAAAAGAGGCAGGCAGAGAAGGAGCGTGAGTACTACAGTGAGCAGGTGATACAACTGCTGGACATCCTTAAGAGTAAGCCTTCTTCTACACCCTCCACACCCATGCAGATTGGCAGACCTCGTCCTAAGCCCATTTCTCCAGTTAGTATTAAAGATTTAAGAAGAAAAATATTGTATATGCAGGATATATGTAATCAAGCCAATAGGCTGGTGTAACAGTTAATACTTTCTGAGAGATTGTAACTATTCATTAGATCATTCTTCTATTGTTTATAGAAATAAATAATAAATTAGGTGGGTGAACACATTTGTATTTATGGTTACATTATTTTTTGTATTATTCAAGATGTTATTTCACATTTACCCTGTTGTAGGAAAACGAGATTGCACGTTTGACACACGAGCGAGATGTTTTAAAACAAGAGCGAGATTTCTACAAGATGCAATATCAGTCTCTTAAAAGCCAACAGACAGGAGGATCTGCAGGTTCCCCTGTCTCAGGTAGTGCAGGAGTGGGCCCTTCCAGCACAGGTGCTGGTGGCCCACCATCCACGGCTCCCTTGCCTCCAGGACCAACTGTGGCTACTGCTATGGCTACCATGACAGGTGGTCCAGCTTCTGCAGGTTCCCCTGTTATTCCTCCACCAAGGCCTCAGTCTGTACCTGTTGGTAGTGAGTATTTCATGTACAAACACCATTCATTATTTGATGGTAGAGAGTAGAAGCTGTTGTTGTATTAGCATACTGTACAGTAATGTTATTTGAGATAAACTTAGTTCAGATTGATTAGTTTAATATATGCATAAATTAGTCCTCAGAATATCTTCAATAAATGATTAAGAACAGACACAAATTTGCTGTTATTTCATGTTTTACTGACGTAGCAGCTAAATTTCTTAAAACTTTCGTGACCCCCGGCGTGCGCGCCCTTGCCCACCCCAAGGTGAGCCGAGCGTTTCCATTGAGCGCACGCCCACACTAAAATGTGCATACTCTTTTCAGTTTTCTCACTTAAATTTTCATGTTAAATCGTTCATTTTGGTATCAAATTGTTCACAATAGAATTCCTAAAGGAATATATGAATGTAAGGTCAAAAAGCCCGGCGTGCCAGCCAGAGCAAACCCAAAAATCGGCAGAGCGTTTCCCGTGAGATAGCACACATCTGCACACCAAAACCTGCACTAAAATGTGTGTACTTTTTTCAGTTTTCTCACTTAAATTTTTGTGTTACATTGTTCATTCTGGTATCAAATTGTTCACAACAGAATTCTCTAAAGGGATATACATATAAAAGGTAAAACAGCCCTTTTACCCAGAGCAAACACAGAAATCGGCCAAGTGTTACCCCATGAGCACGCACCTTTCCGCACACTCAATCTACAATCTACAAAAGTGGAAGTAGGGAAGACCCCCTTAATTATAGACGGTATCATTGACAAGTGTAATAGTCAAAATATTGGAAAAAATAATTAAAACTAAATGGGTAGAACACCTGGAGAGAAATGATATAATATCAGACAGACAGTATGGTTTTTTATCTGGAAGATCCTGTGTATCGAATTTTTCTCAGTTTCTATGATCGAGCAACAGAGATTTTACGGATCTACCTCCGCTGTGTGTTTTACTGCTTGGTATTTGGCCACCTTTGGGGTCAGCTGGGGTTTTGTTGCCCTTCTTTGTCTCTGAGTAGGAGGTAGTTTTCGTCACTGTTAGAGGCGCGGAGTACTACACAGCTAGTTATCATCTCTTATAGTGGCTGGCTTTGTTCTGCCTAAGTATGTTTCCTCTTGTGGGGTTTTTCTTTTGTTTTTGTTTTCCTGCCTGGTTGTGTGTGTGGGGGGGTCTGCCTTTGTCCATCCTCCTCTCTCTTGTTGGGATAGTATAATTTTATTTGCTTCTGTGTATTGGTGGTATTCCCTGCTAGGCCCCCGTGAATGGACACTTCCCGGGGAATCAGCTTTTAGAAGTTCGTTTGATAGACTTGGGCACCGGTTCGCAGTACCATGCCTGGACTTCCCTTAGCGTGTTAACAAGGCTAAGGGCCCTGGGAAACCCCACGGAGGCTCCGTGGTCTGATGGATATGACCCTTGAGTTCCCTCTCACTTTATGCGAGATTGAAGGTTGCTCTGCTCCCTTGTCTCAGGGGTGACACTCGCAGATTGTGCCTTCAGAATCCGCTTGGGCCCTGGCTCTTCGGTTGTCTTTGCCTTTTTGTCCTCTGCTGTTTGCAGAGTCTGCTGTGGTGCACTGTCAACAGGCAGCTTCAGCTAGTTGCTGTCCTATGTCCAACTTAGTTTTCCAGGGGGCTCGTGGGGGGCCTTCCCGGAAGGGTCGTGCCAGGGCTTGGGGTTCTTCCTGTTGTGGTAGGCCAGTGGTGCCAGATTTGGGGCAGGCGCAGCCTCCGGTTCTGTCTTTTTCTGGTCAGCACGGGGATCACCCTGTGCGCCGCTTAGGTTCAAGGGCAATTTCCTCTATAACCTCTTAGGTTGTAGAGGAGCAATGTTGGCGAGTAAGATGTTGGAGGAGTGAGGGAGACACTGGATGTTGAAAGATTGAGGGTGTGGCAGCTGACTCGCGGAGTTCTGAGTGTGTTGATGGTGAATGTATATAGTGTGTGATAGTGTATAGTGTGTAAATAGATTGTATATATATATATATACGTAAATTAGCATGATGCATGGGAAATATGTGTACATGCGTGTCATGCACATAACACAGTGTCTTCGGACGGTACGGATGTTCTACTGTCATAATATAGTGTACGTGTTTATTATACATAGGATTGGCACAAAAAAACAAATAAAATGTATTTGGAACTGTGCGCAAAAACTGAACAAAAATATATTCGCGGCAACTCGTGCATCCTGCCCCAGGCGCCCTACCAGCCCCGGGGGCGTACGCCACGGGCGACCAGGAAATTATGATGTCACGCGCAAACTTACGAACCCCATAGCAGCCAAAGTACGTACAATTTCGACCTTCTGTTACTATACCCATACTCAGGGAAGGGGTTTTGACACTTTCAAAACAAATAAGAATTTTTTCCAGAGAATTTATTTTCTGCGCACTGGGGAGGTGTCATATTTGGAAGCCGAGCAGTTGAGGGGGTTAATCTTGTACATATATGAAGACTTCTCGGCCTTTTGTTGTATGTACTAAACACTCTGAGCCCCATAACACTTGCCCTCTTTACTCTATTGATTTGTCTCTTTATATCACTATTTCCATATGATTTCCTATTTTTTGCTTTTGGTAATTTTGTCTGTTTACAGCTGTTGATTTGGAAACTATAAGAAGAGAGCGAGATTTCTTCAAGCAACAGATGGAATATTTCCGACAGCAACTAAATTTGCAACTAGCTCGAGGGCCTGTTCCTGCTGCTGGAACTATTGACATCGATCATCCTCAACGTTCTCCTCTAACTAGGGTATCATATTGTCAATTGTTATGGTTTGACAGTAGATTCACTAGATGTTTGTATGAAGATAAGAGAGGCAAGAAAAAGTAAGAGTATTTATTGCACTGATACAGTGGAATTTAAAAAATATCTTTTGAAGACATTTGATGTATAGTATGTAGTTTCCTGACAGGTTCCAGCCCAGGAACTACTACTACTTCCATACTACTAGTTGCCATCAGTCACGGAGTTCTTATTGACCTATCAGGGACCACGAGTCAGAACCTGGGCCCCTCAGAGATGTGCAGGGAGCGGTAGCACTACGAACACCTTACATTTAAAGTAATTCATGTCTACCTCCACCAGGAAAGCATTCAGAAAGTCATCAAATCAAAACAATCCATGGCACGGTTAAAAATGAGACTACAGCCTAAAAACTGCTAAAAGAACTCCCCAGTTTTGAAAACAAACTGCCAAAATTTCATGGAAACTAGGTTTGGTTTCACTTTTTTCGAGTGATGTTTTCCCTTTGTGGCTGTTCTTATAAACAGTTTTGTAGCGTGAGCCAGAAGTTCCAGAATGCTGGGAGCTGCTTGTACTCAGGGTTATCTTCCCTGTGCGCTCTTTGCACGGTCAGGATTATCTCACCTGGGGACACTACCTTTAGAGTCTCTCCTCGCTTGGGGTCACCCTCGCCTGTCCTAGTAAGCCGGTGGTTTCCTTGGGTTGGGATTGTTTTGTGTAAATCATTTGTGGAGTTCTTTGGCATTTTCAAGACTACATTTTTATGAACCCCTCCAGTTATCTGTAAAGCTTGGCTTACTTTCTGGATACTTTTTCATGCGGGATGGTGAATTGTCACTGAATCTCTGCGCCTTCGTAAGGGGGCTAGGTTCTGGCTCCAATCCTCAGTAAGTCGAGCAGAACTTCTGTGACCTTTCAGTATGGAGCAATCTCAACAAGATAGCTTCAGGGAGGCACCAAGCTTCTGCACGAAAGGGACATTTTATTACATTCAAAGCTGGGTTTTTCTTCCCTGTGTCCAGTTGTTTGCTTAAGCTCTATAATGAGGTAGTTGCTTCAGAGTCCTGGGCTGCCTCATGGTGGCAATGGGAGTAGTCAGGGGACTAAGTTTTTCCAGTTACAGCATATTGTTTGGCAGTTTGCTGATCTTCATACATTTCTTGAAGGAAAACATAATGTTATGCGATTCCTTTCAGCTTATCAAAGTTGATCTTCAATACTGACATTCTTCCCAAGCCTGTAGATTAGACAAAATATTGTTTCTTGCTCCTGGTGAGTTGATGAATACACATGGTCCTGGTGAATTAGTAAAGACACATGGTCCTTGTGTAATTACCCAAGTGTAGTTACAGGTTGAGAGCTACGCTCATGGTGTCCCGTCTTCGTAGCACTCTGTCAAAAAATGCTTTGAAACTTCTGACAATTTTGGCCTTCACCACCTCGCTTGTTTCTACCATCTAAGACTCTGTTTATGAAGGTGAATTTTTTTAAACAGTGAACATTGTCGGTGGAAGAACTGAACCCCTGTAATTACCTAAGTGTAGTTACAGTATGAGAGCTATGCTCGTGGTGTCCCTTCTCCCCAGTGAATTTTTTTAAACAGTGAACATTGCCGGTGCAATGTTCACTGTTAAAAATTACTGGTTCACTTTGAAATTACTGATGGTTTTGGCCTCCACCACCTTCTCACCTAACTTGTTCCAACCGTCTATCACTCTGTTTACAAAAGTGAATTTTCTTATATTTCTCCGGCAGCTTTGTTTCGTGAGTTTAAACCTATGACTTCTTGTTCTTGAAGTTCCGGGTCTCAGGAATTCTTCCCTATCCATTTTATCGATTCCTGTAACTATTTTGAACGTAGTGATCATATCGCCTCTTTTTCTTCTATCTTCTAGTTTTTGCATATTTAATGCCACTAACCTCTCCTCGTAGCTCTTGTCCTTCAGTTCTGGGAGCCACTTAGTGGCATGTCATTGCACCTTTTCCAGTTTGTTGATGTGCTTCTTAAGATATGGGCACCATACAACCACTGCATATTCCAGCTTTGGTCTAACAAGTCGGGAACAATTTCTTCAGTATTTCTCCATCCATGTATTTAAAAGCAATTCTGAAGTTAGAAAGCATGGCATAGGCTCCTTGCACAATGTTCTTAATGTGGTTCTCAGGTGACAGTTTTCTATCTAATAACCACCCCTTGATCCCTTTCTTTGTCAGAATTCTTTAAAGATTTCTCACATAATATATAGGTTGTGTGGGGTCTATGTTCTCCAATTCCACATTCCATAACATGGCATTTATTCACATTAAATTCCATTTGCCAAGTGTTGCTCCATATACTTACTTTGTCACAGGTCTTCTTGAAGGGCATGACAATCATCCAGGTTTCTTATCTTCTCTATTATCTTAGCGTCATCAGCAAACATGTTCATATAATTCTGTATTCCAACTGGTAGATCGTTTATGTAGACAATGAACATTACCGATGCAAGAACTGAACCCTGTGGTATTGCACTTGTGACATTCCTCCAATCCGATACATTGCCTCTGATTACGGCCCTCATTTTTCTGTCAGGAAATTTTTCATCCATGTTAGAAGCTTACCTGTCACCCCTCCAATAAGTTCCAGTTTCCAGAACAACCTCTTATGTGGAACTCTGTCGAAAGCCTTTTTTTAGGTCCAGATAGATGCAGTCAACCCAACCATCTTTTTCCTGTAAAATCTCTGTCGCTTGATCATAGAAACTGAGTAAGTTCATTACACAGGATCTTCCAGATCGAAAACCGTGCTGTCTGTCTGATATTATGTCGTTTTTCTCCAGGTGTTCTACCCATTTAGTTTTAATTATTTTTTCCAATATTTTGAGTATGACACTTGTCAATGATGCAGGTTTATAATTAAGGGGGTCTTCCCTGCTGCCACTTTTGTAGATTGGAACTATGTTAGCGTTTTTCCACGCATCAGCTACAACTCCTGTAAACAGGGATGCCTGAAAAATCAGTTGAAGTGGAATGCTGAGCTCAGGTGCACATTCTCTCAGAACCCATGGTGAAACTTCATCTGGACAACTGCTTTGTTCTTACTTAGCTCCTTGAGCATTCTTTCCATTTTGTCTCTAGACACCTCTATGTGCTTTATATTGTTCTCTGGAATTCTTATTGTGTCTGGTTCCCTGAAGATTTCATTTTGTACAGACACACTTTGGAACTTTTCGTTTAATGTTTCACACATTTCCTTTTGATTTTCTGTGAATCTATTTCCCATTTTCAACCTTTGAATATTATCTTTTACCTGCAATTTATTGTTTATGAATTTATAGAATAGGATGGGTTCTGTTTAACATTTGTCTGCAATTCCTTTTTCAAAATTTCTTTCTGCCTCTCTCCTCACTGCCGTGTAGTTGTTTCTCGCATCTTTGTATCGCTGGTATGTTTGGGGGTTTGGACCTCTTCCTATATTGATTTCATTTTTGTGTCTTTTGGTCACTGGCCCTCTTGCAATTTCTTTTGAACCAATCCTGTTTCCTAGTTCTGCATCTCTGTTTTGGTATAAGTTTTTTTGTGCCTTTATCATATATTTCACAAAACTTGACATACATCTCATTCACTTCCTTGCCTAGCAACAAGTCTGTCCAATTATGCCCACTAAAAAAATTTCTAAGGTTGCCATAATGTCCTCTCCTAAAGTCAGGTTTTTCAATTGCATCAACCTTCACATTTTCTTCCAGATTATAATGCATTGCATACTTTATTCCCAAAAAAGACATGGTCACTTTTACCAATGGGGGGATGGTATTGAATGTCAAATATCTCTTCCTCCTTCCTGGTAAATGTCAAATCTAGCATTGAAGGAACGTCTCCTTCCCTTATCCTCGTAGCTTGTTTAACATGTTGATAAAAAAATGTTTCCAGGATGAGGTCTACAAATCTACAGGTCCAAAAATCCTCTGTTCTAGCTTCATATGCTTCCCAGTCTATGGCCTTCAAGTTGAAGTCCCCGACTATCAACAGTCGTGATCTATCTTTATCCATTCTCACTATAATCTCTCTCATTATTGTTATAAGACCCTCTCGTTTACTATCTAGCTCCTCCTTTGTCCATTTGTTCCTTGGCGGTGGACTATATACATTTATGATTGTTAGTTTATCATCCTCACGGCAGATCTCTAATGGTATTATGTCAACTTCTTGTGGATTGGCAATCATTATTTCGTTCACCTTTAGGTGTTCTTTCACCAGTACAGCAACACCACCGCCTTGCCTCCCCTGACAACACCTTCCACCACTGACATCACCTGCCTCCCCTGACAACACCTTCCACCACTGACACCACCTGCCTCCCCTGACAACACCTTCCACCACTGACATCACCTGCCTCCCCTGACAACACCTTCCACCACTGACAACACCTGCCTCCCCTGACAACACCTTCCACCACTGACATCACCTGCCTCCCCTGACAACACCTTCCACCACTGACAACACCTGCCTCCCCTGACAACACCTTCCACCACTGACACCACCTGCCTCGCCTGACAACACCTTCCACCACTGACATCACCTGCCTCCCCTGACAACACCTTCCACCACTGACAACACCTGCCTCCCCTGACAACACCTTCCAACACTGACACCACCTGCCTCCCCTGACAACACCTTCCACCACTGACATCACCTGCCTCCCCTGACAACACCTTCCACCACTGACAACACCTGCCTCCCCTGACAACACCTTCCACCACTGACACCACCTGCCTCCCCTGACAACACCTTCCACCACTGACACCACTTGCCTCCCCTGACAACACCTTCCACCACTGACATCACCTGCCTCCCCTGACAACACCTTCCACCACTGACACCACTTGCCTCCCCTGACAACACCTTCCACCACTGACATCACCTGCCTTCCCTGACAACTTCCTCTAATGACACCAGTCTTTTCTGACAACCCCCAGTGAGAACTTCCACCACCTGCCTCCTGACACTAAACCCCCAACTACTGGCACCACTTGCCACCAGACTCCAACCCTCACCAATGACGCAACCTGCCTCACCTGACGCCATTTTATCATCCTTCAACCATTTCTCACTGAAAACAATAGGTAAGCAAAATTTAATACTGTACAACTGTTTACACTTTGGTGAATCATTGTAGATGACAAGGACTGTCATCAGCTATGATAGCTCGGTCTCTGTGATCGCTTGGACAAACAAGCCCCACTTAATCGGACATATGTATGTTCCACTGAACATTTAATACCGAATTCAATTTGTTCGGGCCATCCGGGAATTCGATAGAGCGGGGTTCGTTAGAGTGAGGATGCACTGTAATAAGTTTATACCTATATTTTAATTTCCTGTAGAATTTTAATTTTGGTAGTAGACCTAAAATTGTAATGTTATTTTTTCCAGGCATCATCAGAAACTTCACCACAGCACATTGCAGATTCAACAGCACTGCAAAATGAAATGAGAGTGTACCAGCAGGAACGAGACTTTTTCAGGCAGCAGTATGAGAATCTTAAAGCCAGCATTGCACAGCCTTTGCCTCAGGTAAAATATATCACAGAATTATACACATTTCAGAAACATGTATTTAATTCTCGCTTTTTTGTATAAAGTACTTCTTTCTATTGCACATGGAAACTTGATTTTGCCTTTTCTACTTTTTATGTTGCTCGGCAGTCTTTTCAAATATGTAATGCTCTTTCTGGGCTCTCACATGTGGGTGCTTCCTTGAATTCCAACTGTGTCCTTAGACATAGATTGTTCTGGCAGGAAGGTGCAATATACATCATGATGCTGCAGGGAATTTTCAAACATCTCGACAGTTATAATGTATTGAAGAAGTTACCGGAGAATACTCAGTCCAGCCTAGAAATGACCATCAGAAAGTCTCCACAAAATCAATGCCCCTTGTGAGCTGAGCTCACACTTTTGATTACAGGTGACCGCCAAGTAAGGGCTCTCACCAGTTAATGACTGGGTGGCCTGCTCCAACCCACTACTCACCACCAGCTTGCAGTCTTACATCAGGGTTCACTGACCCAAGCCAACTCTCATACTGGTACATTGCCAGCTGGTTCAGATCTCTAACATTAAGTGGTTTTGATTACAGCCCTCTAAACTGTGTTTTTGAGTGCTGTGGGCCATGTTTATCTGTTTCACTCCTATAGTAGTGTGATATATTTTGCTTTGTGTGTGTGTGTAGTGAATAATCTTTACTGGGCATTGATTTTTTTGCTGGTCCGTTTTACCTTTCGGTTTTTCGGCCGCCTGTTGGGCTCTTGGGTGTTCTGTTCTCCCTTGTTACCGGCAGGTAAGAGGCAGTTTGCACTGGTAGGGGCGCAGGGTGCTGCTCAGCTTGTATTTCCCGACATCGCGGCCGGCTCTGTTCCTTGGGGTTTGCTGTCCTCTTGCGGGGTTTTGTTTTTCTTTTTGTTTTTGCCTGGTGGGGGGGTTCTGTCATTTTATTCAGTTTGCTTTTCGACTTCTGTGTCGGCAGTCAGTGCTTGATTCCTTGGAATCTGCTTCGGCTCCTGGCTCTTCGCCATTTTGTTCTCTGCTGTTTGTAAAGTCTGCAGTGGTGCAATATCTGCAGGTGGCTTCGGCTAGTTGCTGTCCTATGTCTGACTTATTAGTTCACTGGGGGCCTTGTGGAGGGCCTTCCCAGAAGGGTCGTGCCAGGGCTTGCGGTTCTTCCCATCGTGGTAGGCCAATGATGCCAGATTTGGGGCAGGCGCAGCTTCCGGTTCCGTCATTTTCTGGTCGGCGTGGGGATTGCCCTTTGCGCTGCTTAGGTTCTCGTAAGGTGCGTGGGCCCTTTCACGGTTTGTCCCATTGACGGGGCGATAGGGGGAGGCTCATTCTGTTTGCTTGAGCGAGGTCCCATGATTTGTGGGCCTTTCGGGTCATTTCGTGCAGCCTGTGGTGGGGTTGGGTATCTCCTCCTCCTCTTCCTCCAGGGGGAGGGGGTTTGAGGCTGGCGGGGCAGACCTCTTGTCCTGCGCTCTGTTGAGTTATCTCGGAGTGGGTTCGCTTGAGCATGGTCAAAATGACCTCGTATCTCAGGTGGAATGAATGAATGCTCCCAACTGCACGGGGGTTTCTATAGGCCGTTGCTCCTAGTGCCTCTGATGGGGTGTGGGGGGCAGTTTCTGGCTCGTGGTTCCCAGTAGGCAAGAATTCCGTTGACATTGATGCCAGAAAATTATACATATCCATTCAGCCTTGATAGCACCAGGGAGCCTCCAGGACTCACCCAGAAAATGGTGTTTCATTACATTCAGTGCTGGTTTTATGTTCAGAAACAAAAAAAAAACACAAAAACAATGAAATTCTTTAAAGAATTCAAGTGCAATCATCACTAGGTGGGAGACACTGGTAAACTGAAGAGCGCTATGTGCTCGGTTGGCCCATACGTGTATGAACAAACTTGAGCACCAAGTATCAACAAACATGTATCAACAAACTTGAGCAAACTACGAGTACAGGGGTACCTCAGTTTAAGAGTTTAATTCGTTCCTGGAGACTGCTCATATTCCGAACCTAATTTCCCCATAAGAAATAATGGGAAATAAATTAATCCATTCCTGACTACCCCAAAAAACCCACATCAAACTAAATTTTTATACCTAATTCATCTAAATAAACCTACAAAACTATGTTCAAGTTATTACTTACCTTGCTGTTGAATACTGTAGGCGTATGGAAGATGGTGAGGAGGGGGAGGAGGAGAGGAGTTACTGTTTGGAAGGGGAGTCCCCTTCCATTATCACATCAGGCAGTGAGGACTTCACTGGTGAGCACACACTGGCACATTTTGCCTGCATACCACTAGGACTTGTTTGTCTTACTAAGAATCTGTCTAAAGACACTTGTTTTTCCCTACATTTTAACACTTGTCTGTAGTAAGACATCACATTGTCATTTAAAAGGTTAATACAACAGCCTGCTACAGCTTTATCTGGGTGAGTTTTTTCAACAGAACTTTGCAGTTCTTCCCATACTTCACATATTTTCTTAATCAAGAAGGAACATCCTCTACTGCCTCTACTCACATCTATTTTCTTAGGTTGAACCTTATCATTGGCTTTCTTGAGACCCATGGCAAGATATATAATAACAACTTTTATGCTCAAATGGCCAAAAAAACGACATAAAACTGTAAATCCTTGTGAAGAATTCAGGAGGGATAGTCACTGGGCTGGAGACAATGGTAAACTGAGGGGCGGAGGGGCGACGATCGCCGTACCACCACGCGCTAGGTCGGCCTGAACGCGTATCAACGAACTTGTGTTCCGAGGTAACCCTCGCCTTCCAAGACACATTTTCCGAGGAAATCTGGCTCGTATTCCGAAAAACTCGCATACAGGGACACTCGTGTTCCGAGGTACCACTGTACTGATCTTTTGAAGAAATTGAGCACGAGAACTAAAAAATTTGAAAACAGGCATTTGAAAATCGAGGTTCCACTGTATTTCTTCATTCCAGGTGAATATCAAATCCAGCATTGAAGGAACATCACATTCCCTCATTCTTGTGGACTGCTTAACATGTTCATGCATGAATGTCTCCAGGATAAAGTTTTGAATCTGCCAGTCCAAATGGCCTCCATTCTTGCTTTCTAGGCCCTCCCTGTCTATTGATTTTTAGTCACCAAGTACCAACAATTGTTATTTATCTTTATCTGCCCTAACTGTATCTCATGATCAATATGAGGTTTACATGTTGCTTGCTGGTAGACTGTAGACATTTATGATTATCAGTTCATCATCCTGATTACAAATCTCTAGTGCCATTATGTCAACTTCTCACAGGATGTTGATTAATAATTCTTTTACATGTAGGTGTTTCTTCACCACCACTGCAACCCCTCCACCTTTTCTAATTTGTCTGTCATGTCTCATATTGAGTAGCCTTTTGGGAATATGACAGATCATTAAAAATATTTTTTCAAAGTTTGTCTCTGATCATGCAACAATATCTAACATCTTAAACTCTTTTATATTGTTTAGTTCCAGTATTGTTTATTTCTTAACTTTGTGTGCTGAAAAGTCACTATCCACACAATGTGAATGAGGCATATATAGGCATAGGTAGTAGGCATATATTATGATTATGGTATACTGTATTATAAAGCCTGTGGTTACAAGTGGTGGATTTAACATCTGTTAATAAGGTGTAAACACCTGCTATGTTTATTTTAACATTTCTGTATTTGATAACAACTATCTTACATTTTATAAATTTCAGGCAGAAGATGTGGATATTAGTAACATTGTACGTGAGAAAGATATGTTGCAGCAAGAACGTGACTTCTTCCGTAATCAGTACAATGATATCTCTCGCAGGATAGCTACACTCACAGCAACAACTCCCTCAGTGTCACAGACTATTGTAAGTGTTATCTACTTATCTTTTCCGATCAACTGTCTTTCATTCTGGTGTTCTGTAAAGTATTATCTGGCTGTGTCTGTAGGACAGGATCTTGCACAGACTGGATGACACACTGGCACCAATGCCACAAGAAACTTTTCAAACTGTTCATGCAGGGACGTTAGGGTGCCTGGGAGTCACTAAAGAACATGTACTCCAGCCCACAGTAACTGACAATAATTCATTAATAAACTCAATGCCCTTTCTGACACTTACCAAGCAAGGCATCACAAGTGACTGTCAAGAGAGTGCTCTAGTTGACTACCTGTTAACCTGCTTAAATACCTGTGTCAACTTCCACAAGCACTACACCCACATACAGGACCCCACCCCCTAGACCGCCGCCACCACCACACACTTGCTCACCGCATTGCTTTTCAATCACCCAAATGAGATCCAGATTTTCAGTTAAGTTTGACCTATTTTCACAGAATTCTGTATTCTTGTGCTTCAATTTTGGCTTGTAGGCAATGCCATGTAGTGTATTATTTACAGGTCTAGAAACATCCCTTGTCTTGAAGTGTCCTATTTTCTGAGAAACAGGGTTAGTGTGCTGTTACTTCATGAGTTTGTGTTGGCAAGGAGTGATGTGTATATTTTACATTTCTTGTCTAAGCAAAATTCATGAACTTAAGTGTTTACTAGGGTCTTCAGCTGTTTTATGTCTGTAGATTGACATATGGGAAAACATTGGGCTGAGGGGATGTAATAGAAGGGGAATTCTATCTCCCAGGATTCATATCACCCACCATTCAGAAATGACAGAACAAAAGAAATCCCATTGCCTTGGGGTGTTTGTCGGGGCCATCTGTTTCTTCCTTGTTCTGAGACCTGCAGTGCTGCCGTCTCCCCAGGTATGTCTGTTTTCCTTATCTTTGGGTAGTTAGCTTCAGGGAGCCGTCAGGGCTACCCACAGAAAACCAGCATTGAATGTAATGAAACGCCATTTTCTGGACGAGCCCCGGAGGCTCCTTGACACCCACCCGCCCTCCATCCCTCCAGTCTGCTTTTTTTCATCATTCAAGAACTGGGGTGATGGGCTAATGAGCGAGAGTGCTAGTTGCATGTAGTGTTTTTTATTTGTTTTCTTTGTGAGGGAGTTCTTTTGCTCTTACTGGATATAGGTAGCAATTTTCACCAGAATGTTGTTTGTTTTCTTGGGGGAACCCCTTCGGCTCCTCGGAGCTTTCTAGGCTGATATGCTAATGTCAGACTTTGGCATCAGTCATGTGTATGGGGTTCTGTGGGCCTACCAGGGACCACAAGCCAGAACCTGGCCCCCTCAGAGAGGCATGGGGGGGGGGGGCAATGGCCTATAGACACCCCGTGTGGTTGGAAGCATTCTGTGTCTGCCATTGACCGGGTCAGGCACCCAAAGAGTTAAGCATCCCAAAACAAACCCCCCATTCTGGTGAAAATATTGCTACCAAAAGCCGAGCAAGTTGATAGAACTCCCCTAAAAGAAACGAGCAAACGAGCATGATGTCATACATTGCCACACCCCTGCCTGCACAGCTCCCCCCTCCCCGGGAGGGGAAAGGGAGAGCTCTAAACCCCCCACGCTGGCTATCCACTCTTAGTTCTTAGGCTGATGCTAAAGGGAACGATCGTGTGCTCTGGCTCCAGTGATCGTTTCAGCACTGTGCTTTGAGTGTGGTGGCTGTCTTCTAGGAGTGCAAGAGCCAGGAGTTATTCTCCAGTACTCGGGCTGCATGTGCCTAGGGTTCCTTTCCCTAGATGCCCTGCAAGTACTGCCCTTGAAGCTTGGGGTTACCTTCCACAAGTTCCTTGGGTCCTGCCTTTACTGCTCGTTTTTTCTGCCGCCCTTTGGGTACTTGGGTGTTTTGTCTCCCTTATTTACCTTAAGGTAAGAGGCAGTTTGCACTCATATGGGGTGCAGGGTGCTGCATAGCTTGTTTTCACCGATTATAGCGGCCGGCTCTGTTCCTCTAGAGTACGCTGTCCTCTTGTGGGGTTTTCTTTTTCTTTTTCTTTTTGCCTTGTGGGGGGGATCTGCTCTGTTTATTGCCCACTTGTGCTTGACCTATTACGGTTCTTCTCTGGTGGTGCCCCCTGCCAGTTCCTCGTGAGTGTACACGTCCCTGGGGTTCAGCTTTAGTGTAATTACCTAAGTGTAGTTACATGATGAGAGCTATGCTCGTGGTGTCCCGTCTCCCCAGCACTCTTTGTCATATAACGCTTTGAAATTACTGATGGTTTTGGCCTCTACCACCTTTTCACCGAACTTGTTCCAACCGTCTACCACTCTGTTTACAAAAGTGAACGTTCGGATGTTTGCAACTTTCGCTGCCGTGTTTGGTAACATGTCTAGGGCTCATTTCGGGCTGCGGGGATTTGGAGGTCGCACAGGATCCTGGCTGCCCATTATTTTGTGAGCATGTCTGCTCCTGGGCATTCTTGTGTTGTTTGAGTCGCAGGTTGCAGCCTGTTGTCTAGACTTCGCGTTGCAGAGTTTGTGGCAGCCGCCTCCTGGGTCAGCCCTTTCTTTTCCTTCTCTTTGGGTATGTAGCTCCAGAGAGCCGTAGGGGCTCCCCTGAGAAAACCAGCGTTGAATGTAATGAAATGCCATTTTCTGGGTGAACCCCGGAGGCTCCCTGGGAACCCTCCCTCCTACTGGTCGGTGTTTTTTTCACGTTTGTTGAAGCTTAGCTTCCGAACTGATGCTAGGCAGCCGGCGCGATGAGTTCCCGGGGGCCCCCCTCCCCCTCTTGGGGAGGGGAGGGCTGCACTGACGAGCGGCGTGGCAGTAATGTTTGCTTGTTTGCTTGTTTCCTTGGGATTGTAGAGAGTTCTACCTCTCTGTTCGGTTTTTGTTGATAGTTTCTTACCATGTGGGGTTTTTGTTATGCCTACCTTTCTGGTTGCCTAACCCTGGTGAATGGCAGGTAAGGAAAACCCCCAACCACAGGGGAAGGTTTTCTAGGGCCATTGCTCCCTGAAACCTCTCTGAAGGGGTCAGATTCTGGCTCATGGTCCCTGGTAGGTCTGAACTCCATAGCTAATGTCCCGGTCTAATATAACATACATTAGCCCGATTAGGTCCAGGGAGCCTCCGGGGCTCACCCAGAAAATGGCGTTTCATTACATTCAACTTTAGTTTTTTTGGTCTCTCTTGCCTCATCACGGTTCTTGTGGATTTGTTTATTTGATGCATAACGCTATTGTGATTTGTGTGTGAAATGAAGTAAGGGCAAAGAGGTAGAATAGCTTATTGACAGAGCTCGGGTGCATGGGTGAATTGTGTAAAACCCTGGTTTGTGTCTTGAAAAGACTGCAGGATCCGTGTGAGGTCAGTGGAACTCCCGGTTGTAATTCTTTTAACCATGTCGTAGCACAGTCGATTAAGGCGCGTCTGGGATCCTGTCAGACATAGGTTTGAATCCTCATCACGGCCCTTGTGGATTTGTTCCTGGTATTGTTTCGTAAGTGGTGATCATATCGCTTCTTTTTCATCTCTCTTCTGCCCAAAATGCTATGCTTATTAGTGGCTTTGCATGAATGTAAAAATACCAGCCTTATGTAGTCTCACCAACCCATTGTACCTTCTTGCAAATGTACATTATTATTATTATTATTATTATTATTATTATTATTATTATTATTATTATTCTAGTTTTGGCTTGTTTAACGCCACTAGTTTCTCCTAGTAACTCTTGTTTTTCAGTTCCGGAAGCCTTTTTTTAACATGCCATTGCACCTTTTCCAGTTTATTTATGTGCTTCTTAAGATTTGGTCACCATATAACTGCTGCATGTTCCAATTTTGATCTCACAAAAGTCATGAACAGTTTTTTTAGTATTTCAACATCAACGTTGTTTTTTTTAGATTCGGTTACTTGAAACAAAAGTTCCAAGTAGCACGGGCTATGGTGAGCCCATAGTGGACTTACCTGGCACAGGAGCAGGGCTGTAACTTCTTCACCATCCATATAATTAAAAACAAGTCTGAAGTTGGAAAGCGACATATATGTTCCTCTCACAATGTTCTTTGTGTGTTCCTCTGGTGGCAGTTTTCTATCCAAAACCACCTCTAGGTCTCATTCTTTATTAGAGTTCTGTAATTACTTTCTGCCTAATTTGTAAGTTGTGTGTGGTCTATTGTCTTTGATTCCACATTCCCTAACATGGCCTTTATTCACATTGAATTCCATTTGCCACTTGACGCTCCAAGCACTTACTTTATCTAGATCAATTTGAAAGGCATTACAATCGTCTGCGTCTCCTATCTTCCCTAGCATCATCTGCAAACATGTTCATATAATTCTGTATTCCTTCTAGTAAATCGTTTATGTAGACAATGAACATTACTGATGCAAGAATGAACCCTGTTGTACTTTACTAGTAACACTCCTCTAATCAGATACATTGTCTCTGATTACTGTCCTTATCTCTGTCATTTAGAACAGTTTTTCATCCATGTCAGAAGTCTCCCTGCCACCCCTCCAGTATGTTCCAGTTTCTAAAACAGCCTCTTGAGTGGGACTTTATCAAATGCCTTTTTTAGGTCCAGATAGACACAGTCAACCCAACCACTTCTTTCCTGTAGTATCTCTGTAGCTCTATTATAAAAACTAAGAAGATTTGTTACACAGGATGTTCCTGTTCGAAAACCATACTGTCTGTCCGTTATTATGTTATTACTTTCTAGGACTTCAACCAGAGCAGCCAACAACGGGGGACCCACCTAAGACCCACCAGAAAGAGGCATATTATTACATTCTATTCTTTTTTCAGAGGCAAGAAATGGAAGCCCTCATGGTTGAGAAGCGAGGATTAAGCATTACCAGGGCTGATCTTGAAGCTCAGGTGAGTGATCATTAAAATTCTGAATATTACTGTTATTACATGGTAGGCTTCCTTGTGGATACCTGGCCATCTGCACTGGCAGTGCCTCCACCAGACCTGCCTATACAGACAACTCCAAGACCTCTACATCGTTCCACCCCAGCTTTGGACTCCACAACAACTATCTGGCCAGCTCCCTCCTGAACCACTAAGTAGGCTGGCACCCCTTTCTGGAGTGTTGTCAGTACACAAGTGTGCTTCCACCGACTTGGTAGACAGATGGACTGCTCCCCAGAAATCAGACAACTCCTAGTCCTTTTTCTGGGAGGGGGGGGGAGCCTCTTTGGCTCCCTGGAGCTATCCAGGCTGATATGTATATTATTAGACTTTGGCCTCAGTCAGTGTGAATGGAGTTTTAGGCCTGCTGTGGACCACGAGCCAGAACCTGTTCCCCCTCAGAGAGGCACAAGGAGCAATGGCCTATAGAAGGGCACATGTGATTTGGAGCATTCTATGTCTGTCACTGACCGGCCAGGCATCCAGAAAGGTAAGCACCTCAAAACAAACCCATATTCTGGTTAAAACTGCTACTGAAAACTAATGAGTGGATAGAACTCCCCAATTGAAAAATGAGCAAACGAGCATGACGTCACATTTGCTGCGCTGCTTGTCTGCGCAGCTTCCCTCTTTCCAGGAGGGCAAAGGAGGAGCCACAGACCCCTCGTGCCGGCTGTCCATACCCCAGATCTCGACTGATGTAATTGTGGGTTGGTCGTGTGGCTCCAGCTCTTGATTCTCTCTGTGTTGTGCTGTGCCTTGTGTCCAGTTCTACTCTTACGGTGGCGTGCGAGCTGGGAGTAATGTTCATAGGTACTTGGGCTGCATGTGCTTAGAGTTACTTTCCCTGAGCGCCCTGTAAGTACTGCCCTTGGGGCTTGGCGTTATCTTCTACGAGTCACCTTGGGGTCTACCTCTTTTGGTCTTTTGCTGCTTGGTGATTGACCACTCTGGGAGTGTTCATTGCCATCCCTCAGGGGATGCGGCATGACTCACTCGCCCATAGCACGCCACAGCCAGTTGAGTCTCCAAAGAATAGACATCTCTTGCAGCCTGAGACCTCATTCCAGCACTATTATTGCCCTTATGGGTGGCAGTCCTTCAATACCTTGGACTATTGTTTTGTCCCCAACTATTCAAGTCATCCACCTCTAGTGTCATTATCAACTATTAATTACAAATTTCTTTAAATAATACACAGTGTTAGTACCTCGCCCCATAACGATGTGAAATGCTGCTAGCTCCCAGTGAGTTGAGATAACCACAGGAACCTGGAATCATTTATTATGAAGGTAACTCAGAAAGTGGCATTTCATTGCTGCCCAATCGGATCGCCCCAACAACATTTTGGGTAACGTCGGCAACAAATTGTATGGCGAACGCTCGTTTGAGTAACGTCAACACCACATGGTGGGGTCGCACTGCTTCTTGCACATTCTCGGACGCCTCCGATGATGCAAATAAATTACGTTGTTCTTGTTTAAAGATTCTAATGATGCTGGGATATAAAGGGGTGACTGCTGAGATGTTGCAAAGGATTGACGTTTTTGTAGGAAAAAAAAAATTCTGAAATGCAACAAATGTCAAAAAGGTTCGTTCGGTATTCGGCAGGTAGGCTGCTCCATTATAACAATCTTTCTTTGTATCAAATGTGTTCCATTTATTTTGTATTTGTCATTTACGTCTCAATAATGAAGCAGCCTACCTTACATACACTGCACAAACCTTTATGACATTTTTATTTCTTCAAATTTGTTCAATATTTATTTTTCATTTGTCTTATAGCAAAAGGTTCATTCGGTGGTCAGCAGGTAGGCTGCTCTGTGTTTCTTACATAAATGAATAAAAAATAATAAAAAAATGAAGAATTTTGAAAACCAGAACAAATGTCAAAAAGGTTCGTTTGGTTGTCTACAGGTAGGCTGCTCCATGTTTCTTAAATAAAAAAATGTAAATAAATAAAAAACAGTTGAAACAATTTGAAAAATGAACAAATGCCATAAAGGTTCGTTCAGTGTTTGTCGGGTAGGCTGCTCCATTATTGAGACATAAATGAAAAATATAAAACATATGGAAACACATTTGAAACAAAGAAAGATTGTTATAATGGAGCAGCCTACCCGTCAAACACTGAATAAACCTTTATGGCATTTGTCCATTTTCCAAATTGTTTCAATTTTTTTTTTTTTTTTTTTTTTTTATTTAAGAAACATGAAGCAGCCTACCTGTTGACAACCGAACAAACCTTTTTGACATTTATTCTAGTTTTCAAAATTCTTCATTTTTTTATTATCTTCATTTTTTTTATGTAAGAAACATAGAGCAGCCTACCTGCTGACCACCGAACGAACCTTTTGCTATAAGACAAATGAAAAATAAATATTGAACAAATTTGAAGAAAGAAAAATGTCATAAAGGTTTGTTCAGTGTATGTAAGGTAGGCTGCTTCATTATTTAAAACACTGAATATCATATTGATGTTTTTTGGTGGTAGAACTGATTAATTTGATTTCCATTAATGTCATTGGGAACATTCGTTTTGTATGACGTCCATTTTACATGACAATGACGGTGCCAGAACGGGTTAAATTCGTTATTCGAGATACCACTGTATTGCAATTTTAAATCGGGAAATAATATCAAATGTGTTAATACATTTATATATATTGTGTTATTTTTAATTAAAATATATGCTTCCCTATAGGTCAGGGTGCTGAATGAAAAGTTATTAGAAGCAGAGCGTGAAAAGACTGAAATAGATAGTCATACTCGAGAGCTACACTCAGCTATTGAAAAGTAAGTTATGAAATAGTTTTGGGGCCTGTAAGTAATACTCTGCAACACAGGTAAGTGTTCCCAGTTATTTCTTCTATTTGCAAATCTTACCTTAGAGAGCAGCTGAACAAGACATTCAGAAATACACTCCATATAAAATGAAAAGTCGGAGTTGTACCACTCTGAGCTGTACCACTCAGTTGCTTCCTTAGGCAATCCTGCTTTTCCCAAGGACATTGACATGCAACAGCCAGGTTGACAACCACTTGCAACATCCAGGTTGACAACTACTCCTAAGGCCATGGCTTTAGGAACATGCAGGGCAGCCATACTATGAGCCACTGAAATTTTAACAACAGCAAGTGAGTGATTATCATTATATATTTCAAGTAAAATGTGTACTATGTCCAATTATTAGATTCAGGTTTGTATATAGGCTTATATATTAGTATGAATAAATACATGGTGTGCATATATTTATGCACATGTATCTGTATACAGTGACACCTCTATGATCTTTTCGGATTACGAGCCCAATTTCTTCATAAAATTTGAATTGGTTTAAGAGCTTTGCCTCAGGTAACGTAGTTTATTGACACGCATACGGGTGACCTAGTATAGTGGGGCCTCGACTTACGATGGTAATCCGTTCCCAGAGACGGATCGTAAGTCGAAATATCGTAAGTTGAGGCGATTTTTCCCATAAGAAATAAAAGGAATTGAGTTAATCCGTTCCCACCCTCCAAAATATTAACTTGCAAATACATTTTATACTGAATACAATGTTTTTTCTAACTACAATACAGTACATATGTTTATCCTACCTTTATGGAGGACTCTTGATGGCGTATGGAAGATGGTGATGAGGGGGCAGGAGGAGAGTTGTTACTGTTTGGAAGGGAAGTCCCCTTCCATTATCACATTATCAGTGATGTTTTCGCTGGGGTTTTCTCTCTCCTACATTTTGCCTGAATACCACTAGGACCTGGTGGTGGTTCACTGCTTGTTTGTCTCATTACAAATTTGTCAAGAGACGCTTGTTTTTCCCTTCGTTTTAACATTTGTCTGTAGTGATGCATCACAGTGTCATTGAATAGGTTAAGGCAACGGCCTACAGCAGCTGATTTGGGTGAGTCGTTTCAGCAAAGGTTTGCAATTCTTCCCATGCCGCACACATTTTCTTAATTGTTGAGGAAGGTACATTCTGTACTGGCACATCCTCCCCTGAAGAAATTTCCTCAGCTGCCTCTTCTTGCTGCTCCTTTTGAAGGGCTTGAAGTTCTTCGGTGGTCAGTTTTTCGTTGTTCTTCCACCAACTCCTCCACATCAGCACCATCCAACTTCAAACCCAATTGCCGACCCAGAGAAACAATTTCCTCAACGAGAGGCACTTCAGGTTCAGGCTCAAACCCCTCAAAGTCTCATTCTGCAACACATTCAGGCCACAGTTTTCTCCAGCCAGAGATCATGGTTCTTACAGTCACTTCTTGCCAGGCTTTGTCAACAAGTTTTAAAGCACTATAAATGTTAAAATGGTTTTTCCAGAACTCTATGAGAGTGAGGTTTGTGGCATCCGTCACTTCGACACATCTCCGGAAAAGTGCCCTTTCATAAAGTTTCTTAAAATTGGCAATAATTTTCTGGTCCATAGGCTGAAGTAGAGGAGTGGTGTTGGGAGGAAGGAACTTTATTGTAACAAAACTAAGTTCCTCCATCAATGACTCCTCCAAACCTGGAGGATGGGCAGGAGCATTGTCAAGGAGAAGCAGGGCCCCTTGAGTGGCAAACTGTTCTGCAAATATTTCTTGATGGCAGGGCACACCACCTCATTCACCCACTCCATAAAAAATTGCCTAGTTACCCATGCCATAGCATTAGCCTTCCACATCACACACATTTTGTGTTTCTACACATTATACTTTTTGAAAATCCTTGGATTGTCGGAATGATACACAAGCAAGGGTTTAATTTTCAAATCACCACTTGCATTACCACACAACACAAGAGTAAACCGATCTTTCATAGGCTTGTGTCCGGGCAATGACTTCTCCTCCTTGGTAATGTATGTTTTCTTTGGCAATCTTTTCCAGAATAGCCATGTCTCATCACAATTAACACTTTCGGGGGGTGCGGCAAACGAGAAAAAGCTTGCCCCTTGTGCACGTGGCATTTCGGGCCATCGAGCGGCATCACTGAAAAGTGCATATTCTTTTCACTGTCCTGACCTTAATTTTCAATGTACATATTTCATTTTTGTAGCAATGTGTTCACAATAGAATGTTCTAGAAGAACATACGTATAAAATGTCACCAAAGCATGAGTTAGACCAGCACCAGATACAGAACTACAGTGGTACCTCGGATTACGAGTGTCCCCGTTTTCGGAATACGAGCAGGATTTGCTTGGAAAATTTGCCTCGGAAGGCGAGGGTTGCCACGGAAGACGAGGATGTTGATATGCGTACAGACTGACAGGCGCGTGGTGGCACGGCGATCGCACCTCAGTTTACCAGTGTCTCGCGCCCAGTGACTATCCCGCCTGAATTCTTTACAAGGATTTACAGTTTTTTGTCGGATTTTTGGCCATTTATGCATAAAAGTTGTTATTATATATCTCGCCATATGTCCCAAGAAAGTCAGTGGTAAGGTTCAACCTAAGAAAATAGTTGTTAGTAGAGGCAGTAGAGGATGTCCCTTCTTCATTAAGAAAATGTGTGAAGTATGGGAAGAACTGCAAAGTTTTCTTGAAAAAACTCGCCCAGATAAAGCTGTAGCAGGCCGTTACATTGACCTTTTAAATGACAGTGTGATGTCTTACTACAGACAGGTGTTTAAATGTAGGGAAAAACAAGTGTCTTTATACAGATAATAAGTAAGACAAGCAAGTCCTAGTGGTATGTAGGCAAAACGTGCCAGTGAGTGCACACCAGTGAAGTCCTCACTGCCTGACGTTATAATGGAAGGGGCCTCCCCGTCCATACAGTAACACCTCTCCTCCTCCCTCCTCCTCACCATCTTCCATACGCCAACAGCAGTCATCAGCAAGGGTAAGTAATAACTTGAACATAGTTTTGTATGTTTATTTAGATGAATTAGGTATAAAATTTAGTTTGAAGTGAGGTTTTTGGGTAGTCAGGAACGGATTAATTCATTTCCCATTATTTCTTATGGGGAAATTAGCTTCGGATTACGGGTTTTCGGAATATGAGCTGTCTCCAGGAACGAATTAAACTCCTAAACCAAGGCACCCCTGTACTGTACGTCGATCACTAGCCGTGAGCGCCAAACAGCTACGAAATGTTTCTACTCTTTTCAGGGTTGTCAACTCCACACTTGTCCTACAGCGATAAATTTGGTATCACTGAGGACGCAATAAAATTCCCTACGCGGACATATGCATATAAATGTAGAATTAATGTCACAGCCCACCCGCAAGGGTGTGGGAAGTGGCGGAATTGTTACCCTTTACGGCACACCCGACGGCACATTGGCAAGACCCCTATTGAAAAGTGTGTACTCTTTTCACTGTTCTAACCGTAATTTTTGATGTATGTATTTAATTTTTGTAGCAATGTGTTCGCAATAGAATGTTCTAGAAGAACATACGTATAAAATGTTACACAAAGCATGAATTAGACCAGCACCAAATAAAGAACTACGTCGATCACTAGCCGTGAGCGCCAAACAGTGACGAAATGTTTCTACTCTTTTTCAAGGTTGTCAACTCCACACTTGTCCTACAGTGTTAAATTTGGTATCACTGAGATCGCAATAAAATTCCCTACGCAGACATAGGCATATAAATGTAGAATCATGATCGTGGCCCACCTGCAAGAGTGAGGGAAGTGGCCGAAGTGCTACCCATTTCCGCACACCCGACAGCACATCGGCGAGACCCCGATTGAAAAGTGTATATTCTTTTCACTGTTCTGACCTTAATTTTTGATGTATGTATTTCATTTTTGTAGCAATGTGTTTGCAATAGAATGTTCAAGAAGAACATAAGTATAAAATGTTACACAAAGATGCGTTAGACCGGCACCAAATAAAAAACTACGTCGATTACACTCGTCGCGTCAACAATACAATGGGCTGACCACGTGAATGGATTTTATAGAAATATATTTTCTCGTGACTGGTGAGCGTGTCAGTTATCCGGACTCAGGAGAAAAATTGGTGACTCTCTCGAGCGCCACGACCCCGCGAAAGTGTTAAACCCTTGTTGTGGTAGGTATGCCTCACTCTGCACAAAATCTTTAAATTCGCCAATGAATCTTTCAGCCGCTGATTTGTCTTGAGCTGGCAGCCTCCCCATGCATCACAGCACTTTGAATGCCACTTCTTTTTCTAAATTTCTCAAACCATCCCCTGCTCGCCTTAAACTCTTTCGCTTCTGCATCACTCGTTCCAGGGGTTTTCTTTAAAAGGTCTTCATGCAATTTTCTTGCCTTTTCACAAATGATGGCCTCCGAAATGCTATCACCAGCTAACTCCTTGTTGTGTATCCAAATTAATGATAACTGTTCAACATCCTCAAGTGTTTGTGTTCTATGTTTCGTGATTATTGATACGCCTTTTGCCACTTTAGCACTCATAATGTCCTTTTTCTTAGCCATTATGGTGGATATCGTTGACTGAGATTTGTTGTACTGCCTAGCTAGTTCAACAACCCGCACACCATCTTCATATTTACGAATGATCTCTTGTTTCTGCTCTATGGTCATCCTTACATGGGTTTTCATATGTTGAACCTTACCACTGACTTTCCTGGGACTCATGGCGTGATATATAATAATTACTTTTATGTTCAAAAAGCAAAAAATCACCACAAAAGCGGAATTTCTTATAGGGGCGATCGTCACTAAACGGGCAGCTGTAGTAAACTGAGGCCGGTCGGCCCGCGTGACCAGGAACCATGCGCTCGGTCGACCCGAACGTGTACCAACAAATATCGCTAGTCTAGTCTAGTCTAGTATGTCGACTTGCATTTTTCGATCAAATTTACATCGTAACTCAAAATTATTGTAAGTCGGGACAATTGTAAGTCGAGGTGCCACTGTGTGTGGTTCCTGTTGGCACAGTTTCCCGTGCCTCAGTTTACCAGTGACTCCCGCTTAGTGACGACCGCACTTAAATTCTTTGTAAAGAATTAAATAGTTTTTCAGTTTTTTTTTTTTTTTTTTTTGAACATAAAAGTAATTTATATATATATCACGCCATGGGTCCCAAGAAAGTCAGTGGTAAGGTTCAACCTAAGAAAACACATGTGTGGATGACTATAGAGCAAAAACAAGAGATTATTTGTAAACATGAAAATGGTACACGGGTTGTTGAACTATCTAGGCAGTACAACAAATCTATGTCAACAATATGCACTGTAATTGCTAACAAAAAAGGACATTATGAGTGCTAAAGTGGCAAAAAGGCTTATCAACAATCATGAAACAAAGAACACAAACACTTGAGGATGTTGAAAAGTTGTTGTTAATTTGGATATACAACAAGGAGTTAGTGGGTGATAGTTTTTCAGAGGCCATCATTTGTCAAAAGCAAGACTATTGCATGAAGACCTTTTAGGGAGAACCCCTGGAACAAGTGATGCAGATATGAAAGAGTTTAAGGCAATCAGGGGGATGGTTTAAGAAATTTAGAAAAAGAAGTGGCATTCTGTGTTGTGAGTTGGTAGAGGAACACAGCGAGGAACTGACCACCGAAGAAACCCTATCCCTTCATATGGAGCAGCAACAAGAGGTAGCCGAAAAAATTTCTTCAGGGGAGGAGGACGCAGTACAGAATGTCCCTTCCTCAACAATTAGGAAGTGGTGTAGACTATGGGAAGAAATACAAACTTTAGTTGAAACGACTCGCCCAGAGCAAGCTGTAGTAGGCCGTGGCACTAACCTTTTTAATGACACTGTGATGCCTCACTACAGACAAGTGCTACAACGTAGGGAAAACAGGTCTCTATGGAAAGGTTTTTAGTGAGAAAAACAAGCAGTGGTATGCATACCACTTGCCTGGTCCTAGTGGTATGCCTGCATACCACAAGCAGGTCCTAGTGGTATGCAGGCAAAATGTGCCAGAGAGAGTACCCCAGAGAAGTCATCACTGCCTGATGTTATAATGGATGGGGACTCCTTCCAAATACTAGCTCCTCTGGAGGTCCTCCTCCTCACCATCTTCCATACACCAACAATAGTCATTAGTCATCAGTAAAGGTAAGCTGTAACTTGTACGTACTGGTACTATAATTCTAAGTATTTGTGTGAATTAAGTGTATGAAATCTATTTTTATGTTAAAATGTTTTGGGAGTGTGGAATGGATTAATTCAATTTACATTGTTTCTTATGGGGAAAATGCGTTTCGGGTGGCGAATTTTCGACTTACGAACCATCTCTGGGAATGGATTAAATTCGTAAACGGAGGGGCCACTGTATATATATTTTTTCCAAGTTATACATAATGAACACCATCTTTACACATAGACACAACTTGTTAGAGTGAAAAAACTAAATAAATAAAGTGAGAAACATTGACAATAAATCAGCAAAGTTATTCCCATGCAGCAACTCGCCTCATTTTTATATAAAATGCAACTTTCCAGTCCACTACAGCTAAACTACAGGAGGTAGAGACTTTTTACTTGGATTTTTGTGCTTCCTGGGTGCTAATTAACTATATCAATAGAAATCATTTTGGGGGAACAATTTATTTTCAACGCACCACGGGAATGTCATTTTAAAAGGTGAGCAGTGCAGCGGTTAGAGAGACTACCAAGTATCGTTCTGCTACTTGCCAATTAGCCACATGGACATTATTCTAGACTGCCACCAGGTGTCAACATTTACACTGTCAACCAAGTGGTAAGTAGCTATCCACCTCATAATTATCCTGGCTCATACCTGGATAACATACTTTATTGGGTGGAGATAACATATTCATTTATGTGATATGTTCATTCTGGAAATTTGTTTCCTGTGTTGTGTATCTAGATGGTGCTGTCACCTCACTAACGACTGTTTACATTGTTATTGCCAGAGTTGTAAATGATTCCATGTAATGGCTTGTTTCTTCAGGTTACAAGATGCAGCCACTCAGAAGTATCCCCCATCAACTCAGGCCTTCATCATGGAGATTAGGAAGGCACGAGATGTGGCCATGGCAGACTTGGATAAAGTGAAGAAGGACCGAGATCAACTGAGAGAAAAACTGAGGGTTCGTTTTGTTATAATTGAATAGAGTTACTGGATAAAGGAAATATTTCACATAAAGTGTCACTTTCGTATTCTACCTTTGTTGGTCTTCAGTTGTTTCTTGACAGATTTCTTCACCTGTAGTGGCAGTAACTGTCTCTTAAAATATGAAGCTCTGCATTTTGCAACTGATAAGTAACATTAATAGTTATATGAAGCCTTTTTCTGTGGGGAGCCCCTACGGCTCCCTGGAGCTTATCGGGCGAATGGATATTATATTAGATCGAGACATTAGCTAAGGAGTTCAGACCTACCAGGGACCAGCGCCAGAACCTGGCCCCTTCAGAGAGGTTTAAGGGAGCAATGGCCCTGGAAAACCCTCTTTTGGTTGGGGTTTTCCTTATCTGCCATTGACCGGGGTTAGGCACCCAGAAAGGTAGGCATAACAAAACAAACCGCGCATGGTAAAAAACTAAAACAGAAAACCGAACAGATAGGTAGAAACTCCCTACAATCACAAGGAAACGTGCAAACAAGCAAACATCACACTTTACTGCCACGCCAATCGTCCGTGCAACCCTTCCCGCCCCGAGAGGGGGAGGGAGGGACCCGGACCTCACTGCGCTGGCTGCCTAGCATCAGTTTGTAAGCTCTAGTGTCAACCGGAACATACGCTTCTCTGGCCTCAGTTTCCTAGGCGGTGTTTGCCTTTCATGGAGTTCACTGCCAAGTGTTGTGTTGTGCGGTGGCCAGGTGCTCCTCATCAGTACCAGGGCTGTATGCTCTTAGGGGCTTCCTTCTTTAAGCGCCCTGTGAGTACTGCCCCTGCGTGACAGGGTTATCTTCCCTGGGGCGTTCGGGAATCATAACCGTAGAGGTTCTTGCTGCTCGACATTTGCCTCGCTCGCTCGTGCCTTGGCACCTCCCCGAGCCTTTGCTCGATGTGTTCACGGATGGGTCATCTCTCAGCTGGGGCTTTGTGACCAGTGCTCACCAGGTTGGCCGGGGGATGGTGGAGTCTGTCCGTCCGTCGGGCTCACAGCACGGTTTGGGAGTTCGTGGCTGTCTGGTTTGTTCTTTGGAGGGTTCAGGTCATTCGGTTCTCTACCATCCAGCTCTATTCGAACTGATTTCCGGTGGTTCATTGCCGGAACTACAGGGTTTCTCTTAGGTCTTTGACCTTTGGGGTTGGTCCCTTTGAGTGGCTCGTTTGCTGGATTCTTGGAGTTTGCTAGCTTTGTGGTTCGTTTCTGGGGTGTGTCCTGTATCCTGGTGGACAGCCTGTCTCGGTTCATTCCTCTGTTCGCGGATTGGCCGGTCGTCGTTGACTCGTTTCATTGGATCTGTCAGACGTATGGCTATGGACATCTTTGCGTCGGCGTGGTCTCGGCGTCTCCTATTCTATGTGGTGCCCTTACCCGCTTTTCATGGTGGATGCCTTTCGGCTTGACTGGTTGAGGTGGGGGTACCTGTTCCTCTTCTCCTGGTCCAGATGTTGCTTCAGGTTCAGGCTTGGTTGGAGTCCATTCCCGAGGAAAATAGTCTTTGTAGTTCCTTGGTGATCAGCCCAGCTTTATTTTCAGACACTGCTTGATAGGTGTCCGAACCCGGGGCGTTTTCCTGCGGCTCCGCCTCTTTCGGCAAGTCAGACTGGTCCTGTACGTGACTGGTTCGGCTTTCTCCTCGGCTCTTTGGGCTATTGATGATTGGTTGGTTCGGCCGTGGGTGCGTCATGTGTTGTCCGTTTGCGGCTCTTTGCCGTTACCTGCGTACCGTGACTGGAGATGCACTTTGGGTTGATCCGGTTCCCCTCGTTCCCTGTTTCTGGACTCAGGTCTCCCAAGTCGTCCGCAGAGTTTTTAAGTCTACCAGCCTGCGGTCTATCCCTGTGCCCGTGCCGTTCGGACGTTTGCAGCTTTCGCTGCCATGTTGGTGACGTCTAGGGCTCATTTTGGGCACGAGGATTTGGGGGTCGCACAGGTTCCTAGCCGCCCATTCTTTGTGCGCGTGTCTGCTCCTGTGCATTCTTGTGTTGCCTTGGTTTGCAGGTTGCAGCCTGTTGTCTCGGGTTCGCGTTGCAGAGTTTGTGGTGGCCGCCTCCCGGGTCAGCCCTTTCATTTCCTTCTCTTTGGATATGAAGCTCCAGTGAGCTGTAGGAGCTCCCCACAAAAAACCAGCGTTGAATGTAATGAAACGCCATTTTCTGGGTGAGCCCCGGAGGCTCCCTGGCAACCCTACCTCCCACTGGTCAGCGTTTTTTCATGTTGGTTGAAGCTTAGCTTCCGAACTGATGCTAGGCAGCCGGCGCGGTGAGGTCCAGGCCCCCTCCCCTCCCCCTCTCAGGGCGGGGAGGGCTGCTCGGACGATCAGCGCGGCAGTAAAGTGTGATGTTTGCTTGTTTGCTTGTTTACTTGGGATTGCAGGGAGTTTCTACCTCTCTATTCGTTTTTTTGTTTTAATTTTTACCATGTGGGGTTTGTTTTGTAATGCCTACCTAGGGTGCCTAAACCCGGTCAATGGCAGATAAGGAAAACCCCAACCACAAGAGGGTTTTCCAGGGCCATTGCTCCTTGAAACCTCTCTGAAGGGGCCAGGTTCTGGCGCTGGTCCCTGGTAAGTCTGAATTCCTTAGCTAATGTTCCAGTCTAATATAACATACATTAGCCCGATAAGCTCCAGGGAGCCTCCGGGGCTCACCCAGAAAATGGCGTTTCATTACATTCAACGCTGGTTTTATGAAGGATGTATATGAATGAATAATTATAATAAGATAAAAACCCACACTTATGTATTTGTGAAATTTATGTAAAGATTTATACCAAGTCTTTCACACACTCCTGAGTGCTTTGTCAAGGTCTGAGTGTGTAGTTAGGACGAGACTTGACAAAGCACTCGGGAGAGTGTGAAAGACTTGTATATCTTTATATATCTTTCACAAATACCTAAGTGTGGGTTTTTATCCTGTTGTTATGTGAGAAGACATTGCTATTACTTAATATTTATAATCATACAAGAGTTAAATAATATTGAATTAAATGTTCAATGTTTGATGTGTTAATAAAGTGCAGTAATATGATGAACATAGTTTTGTCTATTTGTGAGTTGTAATATTCTTATGAATTAATATTACAGTATTAATGTTACAGTATTAACCCTTTAACTGCGTAATGTGCCTGCAGACCCATGTCTGGGGTGCGCTATGCACCTCTGGGTATTTGTATTTTTCACTTTCCATTCAAAACTCCCGTGGCTACATGGGGTTCACATCAGCTTCCTCAGGGCTCTTGTAAACTGACGCCATCTTTAAACAAAATCGTGGTCCACATTCCTGTGTGTGAGAGCCTCAGTAGTGAGTGAGCAACCAAGACCGGTGCACGCAGCATGAGCTCACAGCACTGCTGTTCAACTTGTGATCACAGCATCGCCTATTAATGTCAAAATATATATATATAACTTGTATTATTTAGCCATGATAGTATTGCAGAAGAGTCTGAGTATGATAATGACTGAGTACAATGTTCAAATATTAGTGATTCAATGCTGTTCACGATGTTCACAACGCTAGCCACAGCACCACAGTATTATTTCGTCCATCTAGGAATCTTCAAAGGACTTCGTAGGTTCCTTTACAAAATAAACTTGTGGTTAATTATGCCTTTACAGGATTTAGTGAGCAATATTGTGATAACAGCAGGATTGTGGTGATAATAAGCACTGTGCATAGTATTGTGGGAGGAGTAATTGTGGTGAGGGGAGCAAGGGAGAGAATCAAGGTAGTCTCACTGTGTGGCAGCCTCTGTACTTGTTAAGCCCCACTTCAATTTTGGATATCAGTTTTGATTGTCATCCTATAGAGAGGACATAAATTTACTTGAATGGATACATAGAAAGGTGATAATGTTAGTCCCATGAATATGAAACCTGAAGAGAGATTAGGAAAGCCTAATTTACATGATCTAGAAATATAAAGAGTTGGGGGTGATACAATTAAGTTATACAGATGAATGTTTGGATACAATAAAGGAGATGTTAATACTGTATATCAACACAAAATTGAAACATGAAACAATGGATATAAAATGGATGAGTTTAGATTCGGATAAATATTAGTTTGGGAATAAAGCTAATTAATCATGAACAAATAACCGGGCAATATAATAGACACAGGACAGCTGGATTGTTTCATGCAAAGGTTAGACATATGTACAGTATATGATTGGTGCCTTGTGTGAACCATATGGACTATTAGTTACATTGCCGACTGAAGTGTCGACTCAGAAAATTGCATTTCATGCTCATAACTCCAATTTTTGTAATGCAATAGGAAGCAACATCCCACCAAATTAGAGAGAAAGCAACTTTAGAAGAGGAAGCATCTCACCTTCGCCGTCAAACAGAAGAAGGAGGGAGGACAGTGACAGATCTGCAGCAACGTTTACACTCTCAAGCTGCTCTTATTGCATCTTTACAAGATCAGGTGCAAAATTTGCAAGATGCGCTTCAGCAAGCTCATGATGAGTTAGGTCTACGGGGCAAGCAGTCTGATGAAATTAAGTAAGTATAAGGCTTACAATGTTTTGTGTGTACTAAGCAGTTTCTTCTTTCAAGGAAGAAAGGACCCTGGCCTTGCCTTTCAGCCATTGGTTGTCCTTTGTAATGGCTCCCTGCCTTCCTTCTTCTCATATTTACTCTTGAAACTGTTGGCCTCAATTATCTCCACTCTTAGGTCATTCACTTACTACTGTTACACTGAAGAAGTGCCTCCTTACATCTCTGTGGCTCATTTGTGTTTCTAGTTTCCACCTATGTCTCATGTCTTTTGACTGAATTGGTTGAGGTGGGGGGGGGGGTGCATTTACCTCTATTTTCTAGGGGGGGGCTAGATGCTACAGTTCCCCAGAGCTATCCAGCTGATATGGGTATCCCTAACTTTGGCATCAGTCGATGTGAGTGGAGTTCCAGTCCTACCAGGGACAATGAGCGAAAACCTGGTTCTCTCAGAGAGGCACGAGGAGGAATGCCCCATAAAATGCACATGTGATTTTGGAGCATTCTATATCTGCCATCGACTGGGACAGGCACCCAGAAAGGTAAGTGTCACAAAACAAACCCCTATTCTGACAAACGACAATGACAATGTACAATGACAAACCCCTTTGTCATTGTACTTCGCTTCCTGTTAGGGTGGTGGTGTCCTTTCTCTCTTGGTTGTTCCAGGACCGTCTCCTTATGCCTAAGACTGTTGCCTTGTATTGTGCGGCGCTGGCTGAGCCGCTTCAGGTTTTGATGTCATGTCTGCTCTGTTTCGCAAGCTGTTTCAGGCGTTGTTTCACCTCCGGCCTGCTCATGTGCCGCCTGAGCCGTCCTGGTTTTTGGACAGAATGCTCTCTTTTCTTTCTTCTCTTCGTTTTGTTGTGGCCCCTTCGGTTTCAGATTGTTTTTCGAAGGCTCTTTTCCTGTTGGCATTGGCCTCTGGGGGTGAGCTTCATGCTCTCCTCCGGGGCAGAGGTTTCTGCTCCTTCGGTCGGGGTGATCGGTTTGTTCGTCTGCAGCCTTCTCCTTCTCTTCTGGCGAAGAATGAGACTGCTGCTTCTGGAGGGGGTCCCTGGGTTGTTGATGCTTGGTTGGTTAGGCTGAGGGTGCATCATGTTTTGTGTCCAGTTGCGGCACTCCACCAGTATTTGCGCGCCATGACTTCTGTGTCCGTGGATGCGCTTCGGGTTGATCCGGTTTCCCCTTCTTCCCTGTTCGAGGATGCGGGTCTCCCAGGTCGTCCGCAGGGTTATTAAGGCTAGCCAGCCTGCGGTCTATCCCTGTGCCCATGACGTGCGCAAGTTCGCGGCTCATCCCGCAGTCTTTGGCAATATGTCTTGGCATTCAGGCGCCGGAATTTTGGCGGTGGAACAGGGTCCTGACTGCTCGTTACCTTGTAAACGTTCCTGGGCCCAGTCGGGCCTGTGTCGCTTTGAGTCGGCGGATGCAGCCAGTTGTCTCGACTTCAGGTTGAGGAGTGAACAGCAACCACCTCCCGGGTAAGTCCCTATTTCTTTATGAAACTGTAGGAAAACCTACGGCTAGAGCCTACTAGAGCCCCCCAGAAAACCAGTGTCGAATGTTATGAAACGCCATTTTCTGGGTGAATCCCGGAGGCTCCCTGGCATCCCTCCCTCCCTCCGGTCGGCATTTTTTTCGCGTATTTTGACATCCAGCCTCAGAACTGAGGTGTGGATTGCCGGTGCTGTGGGTCTGGGGCTACACCTTCCCCCTCCCTGGGAGAGGGGAGCTGCGTAGACAGCGGCGCGACGACGGGTGACATCATACTAATTTTTCAAAGTAGTGCCCTCATATGAGGTTAGTATGGGTGCACGTGAAGGTGAACTACTACATTGACGCTACTTTCAAAAATAGAATATTTACACTAATCATACTCCTATGTATTTTGTTGTATTCTTAAAAATGTTTATCCGTCTTGCAGAAAGCTTCTTGAGAGGAAGGTAGGGGAGATGGGAAATGCTGAACACCAGCTTGAGTTTCGTCTGAATCAGTTGTCTGAAGCCCAAACTAGAGTGAAGGAGCTAGAGTTTGAGTTGTCACGAGTAAATGAAGAGCTTGCAGATGCGAGACTGGAGGGCACAACCATGAGGACAAGTGTTAGCCGCTTAGATCATGATAAGGATCGACTCAGTGTAAGTTTATTTTCTTTATTTTCTTATTTTATTTCTCCTTGTGGCTATGTACTGATATAGTGCTAGATTACAAGGTGCCATCAGTCATCAGATCACAGTCACATTTCTTATTGGCCTATTGGGGACCACGTGCCAGAACCTGGCCCCCTCAAAGAGGCGCAGGGCCCCCCTCTGTAATTTTTTTTATATAAATTTGTTCATGTCAGCCACCACCAAGGGAAGGAACCCAGAAAGTCAGCAAAACAAAGCAGATCACTGCTTGGTTAAAAGTCAGACCTCAACCTCAAAACAGTCAAAAGAACTCCCACAGCAATGCAAACAATTGATCAAAAATTGTTGAAACTAGTGCAAGCTAGTTCACTCTTTCCCCCTTGTTTGGGGAAAGAAGGAAGGCAGACCAGGACAGCCGGCTGCTCCACCACTAGTTCTTATACTGATGTACTTGTGCCTGGTTTCCAAATCAGTTCACCCTGGCTCTGGTCTCCTATTGTCAACTAAGTGATGTTTTGCCTTTGACACCTTTACTGTGCATGTTTGTGCAGTGTGAGCAAGAAGTTTAGTGTACTTGGAGCTGTATGTGCTCAGGGTTTATTTCCTTGTGCGCTCCTTGCGCTGTAAGGGTTCTCTTCCCTGGAGTGTTCGGGGTTCACTCCCTTAAGGGGTTTCCTCACTTGTGATGGCCTTCGCCCATCAGATAAAGCCAGTTTTCTGGCACTGTCTGTCTATCGGCAAGTAAGGAGTGAATTTTGGCTAGTGGGCGCACTGTGGTTTGTGCAACCTAGCCAGTGTACCAAGGAAGTTCCTCCAGCTTATATCCCTGGTTAGGTTTACGATTCTTCCTGGTATGCCCATGCTCCTCACTCTGGTGCTTGAGAGTTGCTTTATTTTCTGTGGGGAGCCCCTTTGGTTCCGTGGAACTATAGGACTGATAAGCGTTATATTAGTCTGGGGCTTCAGTCAGTGGAGTCCTGCCTACCGGGGACCAGAGCCGGAACCTTAATCCCCCCTCAGAGAGGCACAGGGATCAACGGCTTAAAGAGACACCCCCCCCCCCTCGTATTTGGAGTATTCCTAGTCCGCCATCAACTGGGGTTAGGCACCCAGAAAGGTAGGCATCTCAAAACAAACCCCACATGTTTGTTTTATAAGTGATTTATCAAGAAAGTACTCTTAACAATCAGACCCGTTAAACTGTATTGCTTTTGTTTTCTCAGAATGAACTAGATGCAAAAATTGAACACCTGGCAAATCTGAGAGAAGAATTGCGTAAGAAAGAAGCATTGATAGCCAAACTCGAGGGCAACATAACGAAGCTGGAAGGTAAACTTGAGTAAGTACCCAGTTTGTGTACAGTAATAAATATTTTTGGTGTGAGCTTCTCACTCACCCAGGGAGTGAAGCCAAACACTTACCACCAAGTTGTCATCACATCTACAGTATACACCGGAACATGCAGCTAGGTAGTGTGCCAGATAAGATAACACTACCAGGTTGTCATCACATCTACAGTATACACCGGAACATGCAGCTAGGTAGTGTGCCAGATAAGATAACACTACCAGGTTGTCATCACATCTACAGTATACACTGGAACATGCAGCTAGGTTGTGTGCCAGATAAGATAACACTACCAGGTTGTCATCACATCTACAGTATACACTGGAACATGCAGCTAGGTAGTCTAATCTATACGAAGATGCTACCACAGGGGTGGTAAACACATCAACAGATAATTGTTTCAAAGGATACTCAGAACAAGCTATAATAAAAGGAGATTTTCTTGGTATATTAGATATTAGAGATTACAGTATTGAGGACATGCTAAAGAAGCATGAAGAAGAAATAATTGAATTAGAAGAAGAAAATGGATCTCTTGGAAATGAGTTTCGCAATTTAACCCTTGAGCTGCGCAAAACGTCATATGACGTGGGACATTTAGCTCAGTTTTTTAAATTTGCTGAAACTCTTTCAGCAAAAAAATTTGTGCATAATCTACTAGGCAAATGCTCCAACTTTGTCTAAATGATACCAATGTAACTTGAAAAACAATATAATAGAAAATAATTATAAAATTTAATATTGAAAACTTCATATTTTGAAATCAGCTGCAAAAATATAAAATATCACCAAATGTTCATTTGGTGTTATTATGCTCTCAGAATAGCATATGATCTTCATTGTCACATATTTGGAATATAGGTTTTCAGTATAATTTACTGTAAAAAAATTTGTCAATACAGTATGGTATTTGGAATATGCGCAAATTTAGACAACAAAAATTTATAACTCCAAATGTTTATGATTTATGAAAAATCAATTCTATAGGGATTGTAGAACAGACAGCTGTGCACACTATATGTAAAAATGGTGAGAATTTTTACACTACACACTACACTACACACTTATTTTTACACAGAAACTAGATTTTTGGATACTGAAGTAAGTTGAAATTCTAAATGACAAATGGCGTTTCATTACATTCAACGCTGGTTTTTTAGGTCCAAATAGATGCAGTCAACCCAACCATCTCTTTTCTGTAAAATCTCTGTGGCTTGATCATTGAAACTCAGTAAATTCGATACACAGGATCTTCCAGGTCGAAAACCATACTGTCTGTTTGATATTATATCATTACTCTCTAGGTGTTCTACCCATATAGTTTTTATTATTTTTTCCAATATTTTGACTATTACACTTGTCAATGATACAGGTCTATAAATGAGGGGGGTCTTCCCTGCTGCCACTTTTGTAGATTGGAACTATGTTCGCCTTTTTCCACATATCTGCTACGACTCCTCTACACAGGGATGTCTGAAAAATCAGTTGAAGTGGAATGCTGAGCTCAGGTGCACATTCTCTCAGAACCCATGGTGAAACTCCATCTGGGCCAACTGCTTTGTACTTAGCTCCTGGAGCATTTGTTTCACTTCGTCTCTAGACACCTCTATGTGCTCTATGTTGTGCTCTGGAATTCTTATTGTGTGTGGCTCTTTGAAGATCTCATTTTGTACAAACACACTTTGGAACTTTTCGTTTAATGTTTCACACATTTCCTTTTCATTTTCCGTGTATCTGTCCCCCATTTTTAACCTCGGAATATTATCCTTTACCTGCAGCTTGCTTGCAATGAATTTGGCCTGGATCTGATTTACATTTCACTACTATACGTTCTCAAAGTTCCTCTCTGCCTCTCTCCTTACTGACATGCAGTTGTTTCTTAAATCTTTGTATCGCTGGTATGTTTGGGGGTTTGGTCTCTTTCTGTAATGATTCCATGCTTGTGTCTTTTGATCTCTGGCCCTCTCACAATTTCTGTTGAACCAACCCTGTTTCCTAGGTCTGCATGTCTGTTTTGGTATGAGTGTTTGTGTGCCTTCAGTGTATATTTTGCAAAATTTTGCATACATCTCATTTCCTTCCTTGCCTAGCAACAAGTCTGTCCAATTATACACATGAAAAAAATGTCTAAGTTCCCTATTGCGTCCTATCTTGAAATCGAGTTTAACAACTGTTTCACTGTCCCCATTCTCTACTAGAATAAATTGCATAGCGTATTTAATGTCCAAGAGGACGTGATCACTCTTTCCCAAGGAAGGATGGTACTGGATGTCAAATACCTCCTCTTCTTTCCTGGTGAATACTAGATCCAGTACTGACGGAACATCCCCTTCCCTCATTCCTGTGGCCTGCTTGACATGTTGCTACATGAATGTCTTCAAGATAAGGTTTACAAATCTGCCTGTCCAAATGCCCTCTGTTCTTGCCTCGTAGGCCTCTCAGTCTATTGCCTTAACCCTTCAATTGCGCATCGCATCATATGATGCTTTGCCCAACTTGCAGTAAATTGCGCATCGCATCATATGATGCGCGGGCATACCGAGCACGATTTGAAAGGCCCGCGGGGTAGAGGGGATCCCCATACACTGGCCAGGGGCTATAGTAAACAGCCGCCATTTTGAAAAAAATTCCAGCTCACACTACCATCGCTTGGGAGGCCTCAGTTACCCAGCAGCCACCATGTCGAGCGCACGGCCGAACGTTTCCCGGGCACGCCCCACGCAATCACTCACCCAAGAGCAAATAACCAGTGAATTATTTTCCGATGGTGAGGAAAGTGACTTTGATGACTCTGATATTGATAAAGACTACACTCAATTGACCGATGTTGATAGCACGGACAGTGAATATGAGATACAGCCGCCTCCCATGGCGAGGCCTATACGCTCACCCATGCCGCCTCGCCCAGTGTCTACCCCCAATTCTCCCTCGGCCCCACAGTTCCTGTGATTATTTAGAGTCTGAGGATATTTTCGGTGACGAGTCAGAGGAAAGTGACTCTTTTTCTGGTTTTAGTGAAGTGGAATCAGAACATTGTGTTACCGAGCCTGGTGCCAGTACCAGTCGCGCCAGCAGCATCTCGCCCAGCCAAGCGCCACCGCATGGAACAACATGTGGCACCAAGAGCCTCATGTTTACGTGCCTCTACCTCACGTGCACGTAGCGGCCGTACTGTGTGTAGACGGGCTTCAGCTCCTGGTCCATGGGGTGCATCGCTTCCTCGCCGTAGTGCTCCTGCTGCGTCCCCTGCGTCTCGCAGGACACCAGGTGTACTAGTGTGGAGTGATGGTGCTGGTTTTATTCCCTGAATTCCTGCATTTGACAATAAAGATGTTGGGATTACAGATCTTTTCCCTGATAATGGTGATGATATGAGTGAATGTGATTATTTTACCACATTCCATGATGAGCCGCTCATGGAATATATTGTACACCAAACGAACCTTCATGCGGCTCATCTCATTAGAAAAGAGATAACAGAATTTTCACGCTTGCAACGTTGGAAAAACACCAATAAAGGTGAAATGTATGTGTTTCTTGCAATATGTATGTTGATGAAACACTGTGTCAAACACGCTCTCACAGATTACTAGAGCAAAGATCTGACTATTCCAACACCTTTCTTTGGGAAATATATGTCCCGAGACAGATTTCAGATACTCTTTTTCTTCTGGGAGCCACTTAGTAGCATGTTTTTGCACCTTTTCCAGTTTGTTGATGTGCTTCTTAAGATATGGGCACCACACAACAGCTGCATATTCTAGCTTTGGCCTAACAAAAGTCATGAACAATTTCTTTAGTGTATCGCCATCCATGTATTTAAATGCAATTCTGAAGTTAGAAAGCATAGCATAGGCTCCTTGCACAATATTCTTTATGTGGTCCTCAGGTGATAGTTTTCTATCTAGAACCACCCCTAGATCTCTTTCTTTATCAGAATTCTTTAAAGATTTCTCACATAATGTATAGGTTGTGTGGGGTCTATGTTCTCCTATTCCACATTCCATAACATGACATTTATTAACATTAAATTCCATTTGCCAAGTGGTGCTCCATCTACTTATTTTGTCCAGGTCTTCTTGAAGGGCATGACAATCATCTAAATTTCTTATCCTTCCTATTATCTTAGCATCATCAGCAAACATGTTCATATAATTCTGTATACCAACTGGTAGATCATTTATGTACACAATAAACATCACTGGTGCAAGAACTGAGCCCTGTGGTACTCCACTTGTGACATTTCTTCATTCCGATACATTGCCTCTGATTACTGCCCTCATTTTTCTATCAGTCAGAAAATTTTTCATCCATGATAGAAGCTTACCTGTCACCCCTCCAATATTTTCCAGTTTCCAGAACAACCTCTTATGTGGAACTCTGTCGAAAGCCTTTTTTAGGTCCAGATAGATGCAGTCAACCCAACCATCTCTTTCCTGTAATATCTCTGTGGCTCGATCATAGAAACTGAGTAAATTCAATACACAGGATCTTCCAGATCGAGAACCATACTGTCTGTCTGATATTATATCATTTCTCTCTAGGTGTTCTACCCATTTAGTTTTGATTAGTTTTTCCAATACTTTCACTATTACACTTGTCAATGATACAGGTCTATAATTGAGGGGGTCTTCCCTGCTGCCACTTTTGTAGATTGGAACTATGTTAGCCTGTTTCCACACGTCTGCTACGATTCCTGTACACAGGGATGCCTGAAAGATCAGGTGAAGTGGAATGCTGAGCTCAGATGCACATTCTCTCAGAACCCATGGTGAAATGCCATCTGGGCCAGCTGCTTTGTTCTTACCGAGCTCCTTGAGCATTTTTTCCACTTCGTCTCTAGTCACCTCTATGTGCTCTATGTTGTTCTCTGGAATTCTTATTGTATCTGGTTCCCTAAAGATTTCATTTTGTACAAACACACTTTGGAACTTTTCGTTTAGTGTTTCACACATTTCCTTTTCATCTTCCGTGAATCTATTTCCCATTTTCAACCTCTGAATATTATCCTTTACCTGCAATTTGTTGTTTATGAATTTATAGAATAGACCTGGTTCTGTTTTACATTTGTCTGCAATCCCTTTTTCAAAATTTCTTTCTGCCTCTCTCCTCACTGCCATGTAGTTGTTTCTCGCATCTTTGTATCGCTGGTTTGTTTGGGGGTTCGGCCTCTTCCTGTATTGATTCCATTTTTGTGTCTTTTGGTCTCTAGCCCTATCGCAATTTCTATTGAACCAATCCTGTTTCCTAGTTCTGCATCTCTGTTTTGGTATAAATTTTTTTGTGCCTTTATCATATATTTCACAAAACTTGACATACATCTCATTCACTTCCTTGCCTAGCATCAAGTCTGTCCAATTATACTCAGTAAAAAAATTTCTAAGGTCACCATAGTGTCCTCTCCTGAAGTCTGGTTTTTCAACTGCTTCAACCTCCTTATTTTCTTCCAGCTTATAACGCATTGCATACTTTATTCCCAAAAAGACATGGTCACTTTTACCCAAGGGAGGAAGGTACTGAATGTCAAATATCTCTTCCTCCTTCCTGGTAAATATCAAATCTAGCATGTGTGTGTGTGTGTGGGGTGGGGGGGGGGGATTAGTTAGTAGTTAGTAACAGTTGATTGATTGACAGTTGAGAGGTGGGCCGAAAAAACAGAGCTCAACCCCCGCAAGCACATCTAGGTGAATACATATGTATGTATGAATGCTCCAAGAGCCAATGCTCGATCCTGCAGGCACAAATGGGTGAGTACATACATACATGTATACTTTGCAAACATGCTTCCTGTCCTTCATAAAACACAGTATTATTATTAAATTATTATATTTGTGTTGAGGTTAAATCAAAATATTAGCATATTCCTGTGATGGGATGATCACCCATTTAGAGTGCAAACAGAGGTGGTAGCTTCATTTCAAGACCTTGGTGGTGCCAACTTACAGCCCCTGGACGGATACTAGTCTGTTGTCTGCCAATTGGTGAACATATGGAATGTAATCTAATTGATATCACCATTTGTTCTGTTGTCTAGGAACTTCAATGATGAATGTATAGTAAATAAACAGTTTATGTGATTTGATTATCAATGCATTAAGTTGTATTTGTACTTACTGCATTGATAATCAGATCTTATAATGTATTTGATTTATTGATTAAAATACATAATATAGATGTATTTGTATCATAGTTTAATTTCTTCATAAATAAAATTGAAGGATCTATTAGATTTTCCAATTTTTAATCATATACTGTACCACACTTTGACAGTCATTAGACAAAAACATACTTTTTATTTTAAAAATATAAACCAGATGCAAAGCATTTTTGGACATTGCACTTGGTACATAATTTTGTAACATAAAAATGTTGTTTTGCAGCCAGTGCATTGCTGGCTCGATGATAAAGCACATACACATGGTGGGAAAGTTTTATCACAGATGAGGGCCAGTGGCCCTAGTGGCGGTAATGCCCTATTGGAAGGAGTTCCCCATCTCTTCCTCTATTACTATACAAGGAAACAGTTTGAGAACCCTCTATTATATGGCAGAGGCTACAGAACCCCACCAGGGTGTCAGGGATCTCTCGCCATCAGTCCGTCCAGTGTAGTAAGTGTTACTGGACTTTTGGGAATTCCTGAAGTGTGTTTCATCAAAGAAGCTCCATGTTTCTGTGTCTGCCATGGAGCGACCAGACCGGCCTAGGGAGTATTCAATGTTTTTGTCGTCTGTTTCTTCCATGGCATCCATGGCTCCCAAGGAGAAAATGTTGGATTGCATGGGCCGATCATCTAGCTGTCGTTCACTTCTATGGATGTTGTCTGATGCTATTTTGAGTTGTGACTTCTGTTCTGGGTCTTGTAAATTTGAGGCATTTGAAGTGTCAATAGCTAAAGTGTCATTTAGATCACTTAAAGCATAGATACTGTTATCACGGGATGCAGTTACACTGTTACTCTCTTGATGATGTTGATGTGTGCTTTCTCTTGATGAAACATCCTTGATAATGAAAGGGGTATCTGGGAAGATTGAAAAAGTGAGTGATGTACAGATAGGCATTACTGGACGCCACCTCTTCACACCCAATACCAGCCCTGCACCACAGGGGCCTCTTGTCTCCAAGCGGTAACAGTGACCATCGTGCCACATGATAAAACCCTTTCGCAAATCACATGTACAAATGACACTGCTTATAGCCTTATCATAGGAGAGTATTTGTGTGTGTTGGCATGGTCCACGGCTTCCTAACTCATAGCATTGCTCATCTGGAGCCCAGTAGCCTACTAGCTCAGATGTGCATCCACAGGTGCCACGTAGTGGAGATTCTTCATCATAAATGAAGAGCTGGCCTTCAGGACATGGTCCACGCCATCCAAGTTTGAAACATGAATCTGTTGCAGGGTGATAGCGCTGAGTCCCAGTACAAGGGTATAATTGGCATTCTCCAACTGCGCTTGTTGTTTCATTAGTAACTGGCATGAAGACGTGACCTTTTTCACAAGGTCCTTTTGAGTAAAGTCTGTAACAGTAACCAGAAAGAGGCCAGAGGGCATGATCTTTGCGGCATTGGCACCGGGTGGCCATAGCATTTGGTTCAAAGGTGAAAACTTGGCCAGGCTGGCAAGGGCCTTGTTGGTTCAATTCATAACATCCATCACTCTCATTATGGTAGTTAGTGATAATGGAGGAACTGCAGCTGCACTCAGTGGCTCCTTTTGTGGCATTGTAAAGAAAGATGCTACCCTCTAGACACGGCCCACGTTTGAATAGCTCAAAGCACAGGCTAGTGAGTGACCAAAAATTACTGAACATCAGATTTCGCTCACACCCACATTCTGGAAACCCTGGAAGTAGACAGTGTATAGTTACTGAAAATGATGGAAATTATATTATACTCTGGTATTTCCTCTATAGAGAGGGAACACCATCTGGTTGATAGATAACAATGGATCTTATAGGTTGTCTACTTTCTTTAATAAAGTTAAAGTATTATTATGCATGGATTATTCTAATACAATAAATGAAGACAAATATATTAATGTATTGTAATATTTCCATATGTTGTAAGCCTTGATATGCATTATTTAAGATTACAGTACACATGAGCTTTGTGCTTCATACCTGTGTTTGGGTTGACATAGATAAGGTATCCTTTGAGACAGGGGCCACGGGTGTGGTATTCATAGCAAGTGTTGGTGCGGGGCCAGTACACACGTCGTGGAGGACATTTTACAAAGTCATAACACTTCCCCTCCATTATGTTCTTGTCAGAGTCCAGGTACTGCCTGTGTGGGAGGAGTTAACATCACTGAAATATGATATTAAACTTTTCTTTTAAGTTTCAGAGAATTTGCAACAATGTTCTCAGCTATGAAAGTATAGTGGTGGCATTTGTGACTAAATATGATCAATATGATTACGAGTGAGAACAATAAAGTTTTATTTAGGGCTAAAAGAAAATTTGATGATTGGAATAGAGTAGGCTGTCATGAGACTGACATGATGGGTATAAATGGTGTGTCTGGAGTACAGTGAGTGACAATAACTAAATTTAAAGATTTATGCATTGAATGAAATTTATGAACAGATTACTAACACATTTTAAGCATACACAAGTATACAAAGTGTTACTTGGCAATGATTAAAAGGTACTAAGATAATATGGGGATGGGACACAAAAATGAAATTGAATGTTGCTAAGTGAATGTAAAAGGTTTTGTTAAAAATATTAAGGGCATAGTCAGGCATAAACATAACACCCTATAGTTATACTATACAAACAGTTGAAACATTAGAAACAAAAGGGCACATAATATTGTGTAAGGGCACGAGCTTGTAAGCTGTGCCCTAGCGTACAAACTTACGAAATCCGTCTTTACTTTCTTCCTTATAGTATAGATATGTTACTTTAAAACAGGAATGTAGAACCAATATGCATTTGTAAACACTGTACACACGAGTAACCACATAGGGCCAGTACCATATTTTTGCATAGGCGAGACATAACAATCAAAATGGGTGCATTACATTTATTAAAACACATGAAAAGAGATAATACACTAACAAGGAATAATTTCTCGCTCGCCAGATTAACGATTAGATTTAGTCACTCAGATTCAGTGGAGGTCAATAACCTCACACAGTGAGGTGGATACCTGACAAACAAACCAGTTCGAAGATCGAACCATCAACGTGACGTACCGGTCCGATCTGCTGGAAGAGGCGGAGCTGCGGAAAAATCTCCGGGTTCTGACACTGAGCAAGCAGCGCCTGAAACCACCGTTGGGCCGGCCACCAAGGGGCCAAGAGGACAACTCTTCCCTGGTAAGTCTTCAAGCGGGGTCAGGATCTGGAGCAACTGCTGAACTGGGGAAAATAGGTACAGGACCCCTACCTTGATCAGTCCTGCCAAAAGGCGTCGACCCCAACGGCCTCGCAGTAGGGAAAGGGCGCCACATACAGGGAAAGGCGCCGCGACCACGCCGATGCAAAAAGGTCAACCTCGGCGCATCCGAACGTCTGGCAAGCCAATGGAAGGAGTCGGCGTCGACCGTCCATTCCGTGGAGAAGGGAACGAACAAGCACCGTCTGCCGACACACGAGCCGGGAAGCATAAAACAGAGCAACCGCATCCCACAAGATCGGCGCGAAAAGCTTCAGCAAGGCAACCTACGAGCGAACCGCCGAGGCCAAGGCGCCAAACCCAGGAACAGCCCCAAGCGCTCCCGCATCCTCCATGAGTCAGTCAGAAGACAGCTCCAGGAGGGAAAAGAAGCGCAAGGCCGCAACCAAAAGGCTCCGAGCGCGGAAATCTTCCGCCACCTGAGCCGCCGAAAGGGAGGGAACCTGCACATGGAGCTGAACGACACCAACATCCCGGGGAAGGGCAGGAGCAAACAAGCATTCATTGAGGTGCTCAAGGTCGTCCCCCCCCCCCCAGCGTGACGACGGGTGACGTCATACTAGTTTGCTGGTTTTTGTTTGGGGAGTTCTATCCACTCGTTCGGCTATTGGTAGCAATTTTCTCCAGAATAGGGTTTTTAGGGGGACGCCTACATTTGCTCACTCAGTACCGAAGCTCTCACATCAGGGAATGTTACCCATGGTTTTTTTTAAATGGCATCTGTTTACTAGAGCCCTGAGGAAGCTGATGTGAACCCTGTATAGCTGTGGGACATTTAAATTGTGAGCAGCACCCCTCAATTGTATTTATATGGTGTGCTCAGTTCAGCAACATTTACTAAATGCAGCACGGGAGTTAAGCATTGGTTAGGTTACGTTACGTGTTTAGGTTTTGTTGGTGATTATTTGTATTTGTAATACGTGGGTGAAGCATTTACTGCGTTGTGGTTTTAACGAAAGTCGTCAGCAAAGCAGTTGTTCCAGAAGTGTTCGGATGTCATGAGTTGTGAGTTGTGTGTAAACTGTTTTTCATTCATAAACAGCGTCGGTTTGGCGGGTGGATGGAATACACTTTGGCCTTAGTTTATGAGGATGGGCTGTATGTTGTTATCACGTCACCTGTTGTTTCTTCTAGTAGAGCACTGAATCATAGCATACTGTATAAATTGCTTAAATAAAATTATAATGACCCAAAATGGCTGAGTAAGGAACTAAAGTATCTTACCAGAAATAAAAAACTACAGTATATATAAACATATTAAAATGGGGAAGAGACCAAAGCCGTGAATTCCACCGAAAGAACTCGCCCTAACAATGTAAACAAACAATCGAATTCTCTTGAAACTCCTGCAAGCTAGTTTGCTTCACTTTTCCCCACTTGTTTGGGGGGGCGGGGGAGGGTGAAGTAGAGACCACCTGTCAGGGTGTGAGCTGTCAGATCATTAGCTGATGTAATGGGTACTGGGTTGCTTCTCTTCTATACTGGCTCTGGAGTTCTGCTTGTTCAGCTTAGTGGTATGGTGTGTGCCCTTGGTGGCTTTTTTTAGTACACTGTGGTGTAGTGTGAGCCAAGCTTTAACACTTTGGCTGTGAAACTCATAATGTGTGTTAATTTACGGGATAATGCAAATATTATCATATGATGATTTAAACATTTATTGTCTGGTTTTACATGTATGATGCAAATATGGATATAATAGCTCTCTGTGGATGTAAATAAAGAAAACAAATGATAAAACAATCAGTAAAACATCCGAGGATAAAACAGGAAGCGTCAGCAAAGTTGAGCACTGGGTGTTGACACCAGCCAGATGCAGCTTTACTTACTGATTTAGTGCCACATTACTTGGAGTCATCAGTTGCAAAGTTCTTGTTTGCCTACCAGGGACGGCGAGCCAGAATCTGGACCCCTCACAGAGGAGCAGGAGTCCTTCTGAAGGTTTGCTTTCTCTCGGGGTCCCTTCTACGATGGCTTGAGAGACCCGCTTTCTGTACCTCCAGCAAGAGGTACAGACTGTGCCTCTTTCGTGGACCCTTCCTCTTTTATGTTTGGGTCTTCCTCTCCTTTTGGATGTATTTTGATGTTCCAGGGTCTAATTGACTGACAGATATTCTTTTGTTTTCATTTGGAGCTTGGAGCTCCTGTCTGTTTGTACTCGCATGTACATGCAGTGTCAACCTTGTTACAGGTATGGGGGGCCTCTATTTTGTGCCTGATGGTGATTGCATGTTTGGTCTTTGGATGTGAGTCATGTGCAGCTTCATGCCCAGATTCCTTTGTTGGCCACCTGTCTTGCATACGGCTGGTGGTATTGGCCAAGTCTTTGGTTTTGGCATGGCCCCTGTCTTCTTTCCCTATCTCTCCTCTCCTTTTTCCTGGGGATGTTGTTTAACCTTTTCCCTCCTCTACAGCTGCCATTTGTAGGTACTGTGTAGTTTGGGGCTCCTCTGCTCTCAGGGGGGCTCTTTTTCTCATTCTCAGGCGTGATCAGGTGGGGCTAGGGCATCACCTACTTTGGGTCAAAGTTAGCCCTCAGTGGAGCCGGATTCTGGGTCGCATGCGTTTCTCTCGGCCGATCCGTCTAGTCAGCACTGTATCCACCAATCTTCCTTCCCATCCCCTCTTGTCTCCATCCATCTCTCCCCTATATTCTCTCTTCCTCTGTCTCACCTATATCCTCCTCTCCCTCCTCTCTTCATCTCTCTGATCCTTGTAGTCTAACACCAACCCCTACATACCAAAAAGGGATCAAGCATGATGATAGGAAAACAGAACATAAGTCGAGGAGAGGGACAGGACGAGTTACCTATGGAAATGGAGATGATCGCTTTTGCATGGAGTGAAATTAGTGGGGAATTGAAAGACATGAGGGAAACCATAATTAAACTACAGATGGAACCAAGAGCAGCATGTAATGCATCGGAAATTGACGAAAAATAGAAAATAAAATAGATTGAGGGAGGTAGGTGGAGGGGAGGAGTGAGGTAAAGTGGTCAGGAGAAAGGGAAAGTTTAGAATGAGAGAAAATGGGTTAGAGTCAATAAATTACATTAGAGGAAGTTATTCTTAAATAAGAGGAGTTATTCCCATTGACTTCATTTTGTGTGCTATCACTCCATGGTCACATTTATCGAAGCCCTTGTGAAGTCCGTGTATATCACATCAACATTCTGTTTGTTTCATTCAGCATTGTTTCTTGCATCTTTGTATCGCTGGTATGTTTGGGGGTTTGGCCTCTTCCTATATTGATATCATTTTTCTGTCTTTTGGTCTCTGGCCCTCTTGCAATTTCTGTCAAACCAGTCCTGTTTCCTAGGCAAGTCTTTCCAGTCAAATTCCTTAAAGAAATGTCTGAGTTCCCCATAATGACCTCTCCTGAAATCAGGCTTTTAAACTGCATCAACCTCATTTTCTTCCAGATTATAACCCATTGCACACTTTATTCCCAAAAAAGACATAGTCACTTTTACCCAAGGGAGGGAGGTACTGAATGTCAAATATCTCTTCCTCTTTCCTGGTAAATATCAAATCCAGCATGGAGGGAACATCCCCTTCCCTCATCCTTGTAGCTTGTTTAACATGTTGAAACATGAATGTTTCCAGGATGAGGTTTACGAATCTACAAGTCCAAAAATCCTCTGTTCTAGCTTCATATGTCTCCCAGTCTATGGATTTCAAGTTGAAGTTGCCGACTTCCAACAGTCGTGCTCTATCTTTATCAGCTCTCGCCATAATCTCTCTCATTATTGTTATAAGACCCTCTCATTTATTATCCAGCTCCTCCTTTGAGCATGTGTTGCATGGCGGTGGACTATATGCATTTATGATCGTTTGTTTATCATCCTGATTGATGATCTCTAGTGCTATTATGTCAGCTTCTTGTAGATTGGCAATCATTATTTTGTTTGCCTTCAGGTGTTCTTTCACCAGCACAGCAACACCACCGCATTTCCTAATTTTTCTGTCCCGTCTTCAGACTGTATAGCCCTTGGGAATATGACCTCATTTAAAATATCATCTTCAAGTTTTGTCTCAATGAGTGCAACAATGTCTGGTGTCTGCAGCTGTATTACATCACTTAACTCCAGTATATTTAATCTCACTCCATCTGTGTTGGTGTATGCAATCTTCAGGAACTTGTTCCCCCTCTCCTTATTCTTCACTTCCCCTCTCTCTAGTGATTTTGCTGGTTTACCTTTTTGTACCATTTTACTGGTCTGCCTACCCCTATCACTTTATAGAAAAAAAATTGATTTCGTCTTCATTCCTGCTCTCATTTAGACGTTTTGCCTCGACGAGGTACAGTTTCAGCTTCTCTCTGTAAGATCTCGTCTTAACGACCATACTTTCCCTTCCTCATCACTTTGTAATTTTCTAACATTCCTTAGTACTTCTTCCATCTGTTTGGCACTGTTTAGGGTGTTCCTCAAAGGTCGATCTTTCCCTTTTACGTACTTTCCAATCCTCCTGTAGTCGCAGACATTCTCTATGGTAGTAAGAGCTTCCACGAGGCCAACAATTTTATCTACTACTTTCTCTTCTTCTACAGCTCTTTCTGACCTAGGTGTTAACTCCTTTTCTTTGCAACCAAAAATTATCAGGGACTTACTTCGATCAACTGTGTTTTGCACCAACTTTGGGTTAGATGCCAATTCCTTTCTCACTTCCAGCTTAATGTTTGTTTTATCCTGGTTGCTGTAATGTTTGGCTTCCTTTACTGCTTCTTCTGTTCTTTCCTTCTCCTTGGCCACTTGTGCATAGGTGAGTTGCATATCCTCCTTGCACTGTTCTATTCCCTGTGTAGCTTCCTCCATCTGTACTGACAAAAACTGTTTTTCTGTTTTTCTTGTTGAATTTCCTTACATAACCTATCGTAGTCATTTATGTTTAAATTTGCTTTTACTTCTTCCTAAGCTATTTTTAAAAGTTTATTTTCCTCTTTCATGGATTTGCAATTTGTTTCCAATTGATTATTGTCCTTGCATAAGTCTTTCACTAACCCCTCAAAACCTAAAACTTTGTTACTCAAGTGCTCATTACTTTCTTTCAATTTGCTGATTATTTCTACATGATACTTCACTATAATATCTAATTTTGCCACTTTGTTGTATAGACTGCTTATATCAATGTTTTTTCATTAAAAATCCCCAAAATCTAGCTCTGTTTTGTTTTCCTTCTTGCCGGCGGCCATCTTGAATGTTGTTGGTTGCTCTGAACACTAAGGCAACTTTTTCTCAAACAATTTTTCACTTCACATTGCACATTCGTGTTATCTCGCCTATTTTTCCAAAGTACAACACCTTTATGTTCCTTGGGACACCACTCACTATCATCAACCTGTACTACAATACTTAGGAATTGTGAAATATCCTGGAGCTCCTCTGATGCAGGTGTTGACCCTAGGGGTGTCACCTTTTGAATTCACCAACAGGACTCACTCACAAATTTGTGTTTCATTACATTCAGTGCTTGGTTTTTTGCTGTTATTACATCGTATTCACACATTGTATATAATTATCTACATTTTCATGCAATATTACAAACCATTAAACAATTCTGGTGAATGACATAATCTCATAACCAGTTACCAGAATTAAGCCAGCTCTGCATGTTTTGTACAAAGTTGGACCTGTATTCAGTGAATATATATTTCTTCACATTTTTTAATTCATTTACAGGTACCATTTTTTTTCAAGTGCAATGATGCAATGGGTTGTCAATAATGTGTATAACAAAGGTATGCACTAACAGGTTCTCATAACTCGTTCAATATGTAATTCAGATTATTATATTCGTTCAATAAAACATGCTATTTTTAGTGTCATTACACTTTGCAGTATATAAATGTTATATATAACTAACTACAATTTTTGTGCTGTTACAAAGCACTAAGCAGTTCTGGTGAGTAATAACCTTGTAACCATTACAAATCATTTAGCAGTTCTAGTGGGTATGGTAAATTTGTAATCCAAGCACAGCATAGTGCCACATGTTAGTTGCTGACAACACCTGACACAGCAAAATACGTCCCAATATACTGTACTGCTATAAAGTTGTATTTATTAATTTGCAATTGCATTGTTTGATTTAATGGCAAAAGTATATGTTACTGAGGGTGCATTGTTCCTTATTAAATTTTGCCCGGGGGCAACATGGCTGTTTTGTTGTGTTACCTGTGGTACATGGTACCTTGTTAAATGCATTACCTGGGTGAACAAGGGCCTCTGGAGAAATGTGGGTAACAGCGGCCTGTTGGACGGTAAAGGAGTGAGCCCCTGGGACACCTGCAAGCACCCAAACCCTGACTGGGTTCGTAGTAAAACTCTTGTGTGTCTCCGCAGGGACCCTAAAATCAGACAAAGTATGAGGTGGAAGTAAGGGTCAGTTATTTCCTGTTGCAAAGAGAGAGATATATATATATATATATATATATATATATATATATATATATATATATATATATATATATATATATATATATATATATATATATATATATATATATATATATATTTATATATATATATATATATTTATATATATATTTATATATATATTTATATATATATATATATATATATATATATATATATATATATATATATATATATATATATATATATATATATATATATTTATATATTAGTATATTTTGGTAGCAGTCTTTCCTGTAGACATATATTATTAAATATGACCGAAAAAGTAAGATTAATAATTCTAACACGAATTTTCTCAATCTTTCGTACATTACGCTTCACTGTTGGAGGTAAATCAAAAATCACTTCTCCAAAATTCATTTTTATTTCTAGTCTGACGCGACACGGGCGCGTTTCGTAAAACTTATTACATTTTCAAAGACTTCACAAATACACAACTGATTAGAACTTACGTCTCTCTGATATTATATCTACATTTGGGTGAGGTGGGAAGGATGATGTGGCATTAACACAAGACAGAACAGGGGATATTAATAGGGTATTAAAAGTATCAACACAAGACAGAACAGAAACAATGGGTATTGAATAGAAGTGTTTGTAGAAAGCCTATTGGTCCATATTTCTTGATGCTTCTATATTGGAGCGGAGTCTTGAGGTGGGTAGAATATAGTTGTGCAATAATTGGCTGTTGATTGCTGGTGTTGACTTCTTGATGTGTAGTGCCTCGCAAACGTCAAGTCGCTGTATCTATCGATGATTTCTGTGTTGTTTACTAGGATTTCTCTGGCGATGGTTTGGTTATGGGAAGAGATTATATGTTCCTTAATGGAGCCCTGTTGCTTATGCATCGTTAAACGCCTAGAAAGAGATGTTGTTGTCTTGCCTATATACTGGGTTTTTTGGAGCTTACAGTCCCACTGTTACTCCAACACTGTTCAGTGAAGCGAGTAACAGTGAAGCGTACATTACGCTTCACTGTTACTCCAACAGTGAAGCGTAATGTACGAAAGATTGAGAAAATTCGTGTTAGAATTATTAATCTTACTTTTTCGGTCATATTTAATAATATATATATATATATATATATATATATATATATATATATATATATATATATATATATATATATAATAGAGAGAGAGAGAGATAGATATATATATATATATATATATATATATATATATATATATATATATATATATATATACAGTACTGTATATATATATTTATTTATATATATTATAATATAAAGACTAAAAATCACACCAGAAAATATATATATTATATATATACTGTACAGTATTTGAATAAAATGGGTCACCTTAAATCATCTCCATGCAATTAGAGTACTGTATAAGGGCTAATTGCTCTCAAGTGACTGGAGCAGTGTACGCTTTAAAATAATACAATTACTAAGGTAAATTTGGATAATACAGATAGTGAAGCTTTTGAGAAGATTGTGTTGGTGACCTATTGTAACAACAAAGTTTTGGAAAGTTTGGTATTGTACTGGTAGTGATGGTGATAGTGAAAAATACCTTGGAAGTAGGGATGGGAACTATCAAGGGAAAGTGCCAAGCCATTATAACTATATAGAACTTGGAATGGGTCAGGATAAGGATTTGGGATGGGACAGGGGGAAGGAATGGTGCCGAACTACTTGGACGGTCGGAGATTAAACGCCAACCTGCTTGAAGCGAGACCGTCGCTCTACCATCCAACCCAGTTGGGATGAAGTGTGAGTGAGCAATACTCACCTGTGTAAATATCCTGTGACAGGAGTTGTCTATTGGCCAGTAGAGGAGTTGCCAGGAGTTTCTTGCACATGGGTTGAGAGTGGTGTTGACCCAACGTGGGGGAATCACTGCTCCTTTGCAGCCCCTCCTTCCTCCCCTCAACCATGCCCACACCAATACCCATGCCCACAACCTCCACCACCACCACTTATGCCACCTCCTCATCGTACCTCCCACTGTTCTGCATGCCAGCATCCTCATGTCTAGTGGTAAAAAAGACTTGGTTTAGAGGTACAATATTGTATTTCAGGTGAAACTCATACAGTAGAAAAATAACAATATAAATATAATGACAATAATAATGTACAGTATACTAAATAATCCAAATCCAGTATCAAATATATAGGAAGAGATATCACTATAGTTCTCCAAAGCTCTGTATTGGCATTTGAACATAATTACAGTGTAGACTGTAGATATAATCATCATAATACATGTACAGTAATGGTCCCCACATTACAATTTAATGCTAGCAAGCTGGACACCTTTACTGGGATTAATTCTCCAGTCTAGCATCATGCCAGGCAAGTATTTATCATTAGGTATATACAAGTGTGTATCATTTAAAGAACCAGTTATGGTGTAAGCTCTAACCTTCAGAATTAATGCTATTCATGACAAGTAGTAGGGAAAAAGCAGTTTAAAAATTCAGTATGATACAATAATAATTACACTATATTATAATACCTTCATCATTATCAGTAACAAGACTAACATTGGCTACTTTGAGGTGCTTCCGGGGCTTAGCGTCCCCGCGGCCCAGTCGTCGACCAGGCCTCCTGGTTCCCGGACTGATCAACCAAGCTGTTGGACGCGGGCACAAATAATAGCTGCACTTGACACATCGATCACCAGTATACAGCATATAATATATAACAGTCACCAGTAATGGCACTCTGCACTGCAGCATGACGCAAGTAATCATGCCACATTCATCACCCCCCCCCCCATGCTGCCCTACAAATCTGGGTCACATTTAGTCTCTTAACAAGGACATAACCAGCGAAGAATAAATTAGCAATACACATGTACAAAAATATATACATATGGAGATAGTATTGCAAAGGTCAGAGAACTGTCATTGCAGTAACAGAGACAACATTTACAGGAATAATAGACGCAATGCCCTTGTGGGGTCTTCCCTGCTGGTCATTATCCTGCTGGTCATTATTATCCTGCTGGTCATTATTCCCTGCTGGTCATTATCTCCCATGCTGACCATTATCTCCCATGCTGACCATTATCTCCCATGCTGACCATTATTTCCCCTGCTTTTCATTCTCTCTCCTGCTGATCATTATCTCCAATTATTTTCATTATTCCACCCCACTGCTCATTATCCCATCCACTGGTCATTATCTGCCCTGCTGGTCATTATCCCATCCACTGGTCATTATCCCATCCACTGGTCATTATCCCATCCACTGGCCATTATCTGCCCTGCTGGTCATTATCCCATCCACTGGTCATTATCCCATCCACTGGCCATTATCTGCCCTGCTGGTCATTATCCCATCCACTGGTCATTATCCCATCCAGTGGTCATTATCCCATCCACTGGCCATTATCTGCCCTGCTGGTCATTATCCCATCCACTGGTAATTATCTGCCCTGCTGGTCATTATCCCATCCACTGGTCATTATCTGCTCTGCTGGTCGTTATCCACATCCTTCAGGAATTTAAATACACACCCCAGGCAGCCAAGGTCTCGGAGCCTACTGATATGAAGCTGTAACAGTGTTCTAGTGCCCTCCTGTACTTTATATATGTAAATGTTGTAGTCTCATAAACGTTATGAGATTAGCGCCGGTGGTGAGATGATCCCTAGAGCAGTGTAAATGAGTGGAAGACAGACTTGTGAAGTAGATATGTTTGTGCACCTGATACCAGACATATTAGCAAATCATCGTCATCAGCGGTGAATGCAACACTGGACAACATCTGGATAGCTTTGATCGACCAAGTAGCGTTCAGAATACTATCTGCTGTAAGTTAGGTCCATCTTTGAGCATGCAACACCCAACTGGGAACTACCACTTAATGCACACTAAAGTGAAATTAGAAATTTTTTAGAAATATTCAGCAAGACTTGTTTTTGGTAAGCTACGAGTAATCTCCAAACTGGACCACACAACACTAGGACACACAGAATAGAGAAAGCATGGAACCATACATTCAATCTATATAGTTCAAATGATCACGGTGAGAAATAGTAGGACCACAAGATGGCTGTAAACTAATGACTGGTGCTGGAGCTGGTGTCTGGTGCTGGAGCTGGTGTCTGGTGCTGGAGCTGGTGTCTGGTGCTGGAGCTACTCTCCTGTAACGGTTCTATTGTTACGTAAAGTATGGTGACAATAAACATAGACACTAAAATAATATATATATTTGGTCGAGTATACAGAAGTACACAGGTGATACTTTGGCGAGCAATGGTGTGAGTTGAGCGCACTGAGAGTCGGTACAGTATGTCGTAAGTGTCTGTTCTAGACCACACTTGAAAGTAGACTAGTTATTATTAGCTACTCTGCTGCTTATATGCTCGGGTAACACCTCACCGTTCTCCAAAGGTTGGCGGGAAAGGTTTGAGTTCCATAATTAGTACTAAGAAGAGTTTTGCTTCTCTCATTAGGCTAATGCGTTTGGAGCGAATATATTATTGGGATAATCTATTCGCTACAGAACTCCCCCTCCCAGGGGGATGAAAGAAAAATCACTTGATCAAGGAACCTAGCTGGTCGGTAAATTGTACACCCTGCTCGCGTTGTATAACCCTCAAAGTTAACTTCCTCCTCTTCGCTGATGTCATCTAACTGGGGTTGTAGGGTGGGAGGTCGTACACGATCGTCCATTGTCGTAGGTGGCGGTGCTGCTGGAAACTGGGGTTGAAAAGTGAACGGCGTAGTCGGCGGAACTGACTCTGGAGGGATGTCTGGGGCAGCTTCACAGTGTGCTGGTTTAAGGCGATCGACAGAAATGTTTACCCGCTGTCCTCGTCTTTCAATTGTGAAGAACTTCGGTGTTCGAGAAACCACTTTAAATGGTCCTTTGTAAGGTGACTGTAGAGGGTGTCGAATAGCGTCGATTCTTACAAACACGTGTTCAGTTGTGTGGAGCTCATGAGGCACATATGTAGCACGAGTTGTCGGTTGGCGTGGTTGTGTATGCCGAATGCTTGTCATGGTCGCCCGTAATTTCTGGACAAAAGTGGGGTCTGAGGGTGTGATGAGTGGCGTCGGGGTTAAGAATTTGCCCGGAAGCCACAGGCTAGATCCGTATACTAAGTCTGCTACCGAGAATCCACTTCCCTCCTTCGTGGCCGAACGAATGCCAAGCAAGACTAATGGAAGGTTGTCGATCCAATCATCAGGGCGTGCTTGAGCTCTTAGGGCGGCTTTTAGTTGTCTTTGAAAGCGTTTTACCATTCCGTTCGACTCAGGGTGGTATGCTGTGGTTCGGTTGTGTGTGGTGCCGAGGAATTCCGTAAGTTCCTTCCATAGATATGATTTGAACTGTCGTCCTTGGTCGGTGATGATGGATGAGGGGCTGCCAAAATGGGCAACCCATGCAGAGAGGAAAGCCTGGGCCACTGACTCAGCTAAAATGTTGATTAATGGGATTGCTCCCAGCCATCTGGAGAATTGATCGATGCAGGTGAGTAGATAAGAATATCCTCTTGCCGACGGTAACGGTCCAACGATGTCTACATGCACCACCTCGAAATGCTCAGAAGGTAACGGAAACTGTTGAAGAGGGCTCTTTGTGTGACGATGTGTTTTCGCTCGCTGGCACTGGAGACATGAGCGAGTCCATCGTCGAACATTAGCATTGAGTCCTGGCCATGTGACAGGCCAGGACTCAATGCTGGCCTGTCACATGGCCAGGAAACTACTACTTTCGTTAGTAGTTTCTGGGAAGCACGTACTCCTGGGTGTGCTAGAGAGTGAAATGCTGAGAATGTTTTCCAGCGAAACTGGTCAGGAATGTAGGGCCTAATTGCTCCCGTCCGTGAGGTGTCACAGATTATACTACCGCCACCTTCCATGGAAATCTCGATGAACCGGAGAGCTGTCAGATGTTCGTAATCGCTGCAGATCAGGGTCTTCCCATTGGGCCTTGCTGATTAGACAATAGTCCACCCGAGCTGGGTTTTTCACGCCGTAGTTTATGGTGGGTCCAGACAGTGCATCGGCTATGACATTGTTAGTTCCTTTGACATGGCAGATATCTGAGATAAATTGGGAGATAAATCCCAGGTGGTTGGCTACTTGAGGAGAGTGAGCATCACCCTTGGCCACCAGTGCATAAGTGAGGGGTTTATGGTCAGTGAGGATGTGGAAGTTCCGCCCCTCGAGGAAGTGCCGGAAATGTTGTATGGCTGCGTAGATGGCGAGCAGTTCCCTATCAAAAGTGCTGTCCTCCTCTTCAGCGGGTGACAGGCGCGCTGAAAAGAATGCAATTGGGCACCATTCTCCTTCAATGAGCTGTTGTAGTACAGCACCAATAGCTGTGGTTGAAGCGTCGGTAAAGAGATTGGTGGGAGCGTCAGACACTAGGTGTGCGAGTAAGGTGAATTCCGCCAGCTTATGTTTTATGTCGGTGAATGCTGTCTCTGCCTGGGAAGTCCACTCCAACGGAAGACGGGACATGTGTTTCCGACCACGTAAGAGGTCGTATAAGTGTCACAAGATGTCCGAACAATGTGGGATGAATCGATGATAAAAATTCACCACGCCAAGAAATTCTTGCAACTTCTTTGGAGTGGATGGGCGCAGGAATTCCTTGATTGCCTCGATTTTCTTTTCTAGTGGTTTGACCCCTGCTGCTGACACACGGTGTCCCAAGAAATCCAGCTCTGGAACATGGAAAATACACTTCTCGGAGTTGAGCTGCAAGCCGAAGTTGCACAGACAGGTGAGGAGGAGTCGGAGGTGTAGCAGATGTTCTGTCGGTGATGTACTGGCCACCAGAAGATCGTCAATGTAGGCGTAGCAAAAAGGAAGATCCTTAACTAATTAGTCGAAGCGTTGGAATGTCTGGGCTGCATTCCGTAGACTAAAAGGCATCCGGACGAATTCAAACAGTGTTGTGATCGCTGTTTTTGGAATGTCTGCCAGTTCCACAGGGATCTGGTGAAATGCCCGTACATGGTCAATTTTCGGAAAAACGGTTGCATTGCTCAATCCCTGTGAGAAATCCTGG